GGTTAGTTAAAAACTGAGTAATTCAGTTATAAGGTCTCAGACCGTGAAGCTCGTAATTTGGTTATGAAGCGTCCAAATCATCAGCGCAACAAGATACAATAACTCGATTGGGCAATATATGAAAACCATGGTGCAATGAATAGCTTTTTCATTTTAGTATTTGACTTTTCAGTAGTGAGCAACCGAGACTTCATGTGATATTAAACTGGTTAAAGCTAGAAGTATAAATTGTTGCAAGGTAAGTCAATAGTCTAAATCCCAGTTTCTCGCTGTAAGGCCTGAAGTTTTTGAGGTCAGTCACTGTTGAACTCGTGGATGCGCACTCCTGAAGTGATCTATATTAAGACGAAACAGCCACCAATGTGTCCTAATTACTTCTGGTTACCTAAGTAAGATCAGTTCGTTATATCAATTATATAACTGATTATTATTTAGCATTAAATTAACATGGTTTCATTAACTTTCCCATATGTTCGCTTATTATTTTTAATTGATTGATCGCTAAGTTGAAATTAATGACATGCATATCAAGCTCTTTTTTAATGCTTATCAGATTCCACCAATCAAATCGTTTATTGTTTACAAATGAATTTTAATTAAGTTTGATCATGAAAACAATTGAGTATTTTTTTCGATAGATTTTTTTTTAAAAATCCAACCCTTATCTAAGTTCTTTGTATAACCCGCTTCTTTAACTCAGATCCATAATTAATCCACAGCGTTTTTCAGATATCATGAATTCATTCTTTTTATAGAAAAACTAACTACTTACTGTTGCTGTACTGTGTAGCGAAATTGATAATAACTACTATAGAACAGAAAGGGTTATCCTCTTTGTATGTGTGAGCAGTTCATCATACGTGACTTTCTCACTGAATAAAAGCCAAAAATAATCCATTCGCTATTGTTACCTAAACTGACAATAATGCTAATAAATAGCTTTGACTTTTTCAGATAACATACAGGTATGGATTATTTCTCTTTGTTTTCTGCTACTTTACATCAGTCATAAATGTGTTAATGAAAGGTTTTTATGGTTTAGAAAATGAACTGATATTATCTAGACCACGATTGAAAACCAGAAAGCATTAGACTGATGTCTCATTCAGCAATGAGTATCCACGACTCTATCGCAAAGAATCAAACCTAGAACATTCGATCTTGAATATGAACACCAAATCTATGAAACACTGAGCCTTTATTCACCGGTGTACAAGCCTGACTCCAGCCTATTCGCAACATCTCGTGATCATCATTATATAACAAGCATGGTTGCATTCCACTGGTCACAGCTGCCCACTTGTTCAAACTAAATAATGATGAATCCAGATTGTATGTGCTCATGCATTAAAATATAAGGCGATGCTGAGTACTGCGAAATTCAAAATGAAACCTTGATGCTCATGGCACATTTTGCTTTATATCTATTCTTTACAAAAATGAAATACAAATTCACGCACCTTATTTTATTGATGAAAGGGGAATTAATTGTAGTAGTTAACCCGGTAGAAAACCATAACAATTAAATACGGATTTTCAGGTCCCTCAGTTTTACAGTGTTATACTAACATTTAGTGAGGTTATGAAAGCGGTCAGTGTTAGACCACCACTAAAAACACAGAAGCACTGGACGGCCGCTCATTCCTAGTATTGAACTTCTCAGTAGTGCGCATCCACGATCCCACTCGCGGGACTCGAGACCGGGCTCCTCGGTCCAGCACGCTCGAACAGTTAACCGCTTGTCCTCTGGATCACGGTCTTAATGTATGACTTCAACCAATCCACGATATTGCACGCGAGATCGAATATTATAGGTTCAAATCCCGCAAGTGGGATTGTGAACGAGCACTGCTGAAGAGTCCCATACTTAGACGAAACGGCCGTTTAGTGCTCCCAGTTTTTCAATGGTGGTTTAACGTTGATCGGTTTATGATCTCAATTAAAACTCAACAATCTTCACAATCCTATACTGATAACTAACATTTATACTGAAGTATTCAAGTTATGTCTAATCTATCTGTCTTCTTAATAATATAATTTAATGATGGCATACTAGTGATTAGAAATTCTATGTGAATTTCTAATAGAAATATAAACAAATATATTCAGGTTTACCGAGTGTGAGATAGCGGCCCACAGTAAACGCAAATTGTAGATTACACTGTACCATCAGTTAACTGAATTTGAAAATGTGAATTAACCCCATGTCATTTGCGTTGTCATAAATCTACACTGGTTAGGAGTACTATACTAGGACGAAACAGTTATCCAATACTTCCTGGTAATCAATAGTTTTTTATTAATGTTAGTTTGTAATCACAAACCATAAAATGAAATATTTATTCAATATTTTGTTTGATTTTCACTTCACTCTTCCGATGACATCATTTTATGGTCAAACAAATTATGTTCAGTAATTAAGAACTCATGTGTAGGCACGAATCGGCAAAGCGAGAGCAAGATATCTACAATTGAAGAACATCTAGAGCTCAAAAAAACTGTCAACCAACAACACCAAGGTCAGAATTTTCAATACAAATGTCAAGACAGTTCTACTGTATGGGGCAGAAGCCTTGAGAACTACGAAAGCCATCATACAGAAGATACAAGTGTTTATTAACAGTTGTCTACGCAAAATACTTCGGATCCGTTGGCCAGACACTATATGTAACAACCTACTATGAGGGAGAACAAACTAGGTTTCAGTGGAGGAAGAAGCGCTGGAAGTGAATAATACACAAATTGAGGAAAACACCCAACTGCATCATAAAGCAAGCCCTCACATGGAATCCTCAAGGCCAAAGGAGAAAAGGAAAACCAAAGAATACATTACGCCGAGAAATGGAAACAGACATGAGAACAATGAATGAAAATTGGATAGAACTAGAAAAGAAAGCCCAGGGCAGAGTGCATTGGAGAACGCTCTGTTTCATTCACAATAGAATATGATACTAATGATCTTTTATAAATGATAACCAATAATTTTAGATTACAGAATATCCATGACTATCAATTTACTCATTGATTCATTCATTTGTTCACTTACCTACTTATATTTGATACACAAACCTGTCCTATTTCTAATCATACATAATGTAAATATTATAATAGAATAGATCTGTCTACAATTTAAATGTGATATTCATTTATTATTGGTTATTAAGATAATATTCTAGAAAAATTTGCGGAGACGCAACATATTAACTAGCTAACTAACTAGAAAATAAAAGACATTTGTCCTATCTCTTATATACTTTCTCTATTTTTCTTCAATCGACACTTATGACGCCAAAGTCCTTCATTAGTATACACACACCATATATGTGTAGATAGATAGATGGATAAGTATTGAAGAAAAATAGTTAGTTAGGACATTCAACATTGAATTTTATTCTATGCATTCAATTCTTATTGGTGGATAAATAGGAAAAGAGACTATTTTTGTAGTTAGACCATAATTATTGTATCACAAATAAATTTCTTCATTCTTCAGTCATACCAACTAATGTCACACCGATATAATTTGATAAACCAATGTATACCTACATACAAATCGACAAATACAAAATTGTGTCCTAATCTAAGTATGTTTGTTTGTTTGTTTGTTATTAGATTTTCGTCTCATTTAGTTTGTCTAATCTAATCACACTCTCCAGGTGGGCTTGAGAATTCGATTTTGGTTAGAAATAATTTGTAGCTAATGCTTTATAGAAAATATTACAATCAACTAACCAACCAACTAACCAACCAACCAAAAATTGAAACATACAGAAAGATTCATCACACACGACACAATGGATAGAGATTAAAATAAAAACAAAAGAGAAATAATAATAATAATAATGATTTTTACAAGAAGTAGATAACCCCTGTTATTCTTTAAAACTATTTATTATTATTACTACTACCTTTTTTTTGATCCCCTTAGTTAGTGTTATGTGCACATTGAAATAAGCGTCTATCACATCTATGTGTATAGTATATACCACAAAATGTTAGTGAAATTCAATGATAGCGGTTATCAATTGGTTCAAGATCTCAATAAAAACTTAATAATCTCCACAACCCCTATACTAGTAATCAACATGTGCTCACTAGTGACTAGCTTCGTGAGGGAATTCTCGGAGTTCTAGTGAGAAGCCGTGACCAGTGGAGCTAATCCTTGTCGGGTAGAGACAGTTATCTACTTAAAGACAATGGAAATGGGTCGCGCAATTTCGTGGATTGGTTGATGTTAGAAACTATCACCATTGGATGCCGGCTCAGTGGTCCAGTTGGTTAAGCGTTCGCGCGCGAGACCGAAGGCCCTGGGTTCGAATCCCGCTCGCGGGATCGTGGATGCGCACTGCTGAGGAGTCCCACAATAGGACGAAACGGCCGTCCAGTGCTTCCAGGTTTTCAATTGTGATGGTCTAACATCAATTGGTTCAAGATCTCAATCAAAAACTTAATAATCCCACAACCCCTATACTAGTTTTATTATACGTCTGTCTTTCTGTCTTTAGTATTTTATAGATAGATTATCGAGTGACGAATACTAAAAATGTAGGCAAAGTCTTTTTCACCGTTTTGTCTTTATTTTTAGGTATATACATATGTTGGTTATATAGACAGTTATAGAAAGATTTTGTACCCTTTTAATAAAAAAAAAAAAAGTGATACAGAATATCTATGTCCACTAAGAAATGTGCACCGAATGGTCACATAATAATTATTAATATAACAAGTGAAACGAATGAAGTGCTGTTTATGTGTATACACAATAGATAAACATACTATTTGAGTGATTTTCTGTATGTTCATATATGTATGCAAGTGTGCGTGCATGCATATGTACATGGATGTTTATGTACACTCTTATATGTGTACATTTGTTATAGGTGCGGTGACAATAAACAAATTTTGTTGGGTGATTTTAATACCAAACATTTTTCCAAGAAATTCATTTTTTTTTTTATGAACAATAACAACGAGATACACTGGCAACATTGATTCATTTTTACACTTATTCTACTTGTATAACATATATAGTGCATTTGCATTGTATTATATTCTCAAGTTTACATCTAATCTTACAGATCTAAAAAGATCTGTATACTTCTATTTATCTTTCTATCGAATAAAGTTGTGAAATTCTCTTTACATATAAATATTAATTATGATGGATATGCGCAACAAACTGGAGACCTCAGATAGCTTATCGTTGTGGAATACTGTAAGTTGCTCAAAGCACATTTCATATGTTGTATGTTTATTTATATTTTTTGAAACATTGTATCGAAATAGTTAATATTAGTTTGTTTTTTTCACCTAACAACATTTATTGTAACTGTGATATCATTTTAATTTTGATAGTAATGATACAGATTGAATCAACTTGAAGAATCCTAGTCGGCAGCTTGTGTTCCATGAGGGGCAACAGGCATAAATAGTAAGCAAGTTGGTGTTAAATTGACAGCAAGTTTGAAAGTGATTAGGATAGTTATGATGATACTGTTCTGTTAATCAACTATAAGCATTTTATGAGTAAACATTCAATTGTAGAATATAATCGACTCGTTTGATCTTATTTGAGACTTGTCAACTGAACATACTTGCGTTTCAATGTGCATTATTCACAATGAAATTTAAACTGATTATTTATCAATTCAAATGTCAACTCATGATACACTTAACAATTGAGCTTACCGTTTCAAAACTGTATTATCAATGTAAAGTAATTAACAGCGATCTTTTTAAAAATTATATATACATATACATATATATATGAACCAACATCAGTTAGAGGATTATAGAAACGGTTTATTTTTAGTTTCTGATATCTCGACAGTGTGTACCCAATACTGAATTTAAGACAATTCAGTGAATAAAACTTTTCTACTATGATGTTATTATTTTCCTCAATCTGTGTTCAAAGTAAATATTGGTTAAGATCTAAATACCTTGCTGTACAGAAACAAGAAAAGTTTACAAATCCTAACCCATTGCCTGGTCACGTATGTGCTTGTCTGCCAGTTCACATTCTCTTGTAAGGGACAATACAAAGAATGTAGTCAATATTCACTTCCATATAGATATAAGAACATATTTCAATGTGTTTCTTTAAGGGTAATACGAGAGTGGCTTATAAGTTCATTCACTAACCCTACTATTTACTAAAGCTGTTTTATAATAGGCATAGTTACTTAATATTCCAGCTGTACCTAAGCCACTTCCAATAAATGATAAATGACCTGTAGCCATCCAATACTATTACTAATGTTATATCCTGTCACATATCACATGTAATGCTGCTGGTTTTTCTTTACACGTCACATTCATCTACTTTTATTTATGTGTTGTTCTTTCCAACTATTATTGTCATTTTCCTTGTCTATCTTCATAGTACAAAGTTTACTGAATCTTGACATTATCATTATCTTTATTAACATCATCCCAGTTTATCGTGCAAACACCTCCTGGTTACTGAAAAAGAGAATATGATGATGATGATGATGATGATGATGATGATGATGATGATGATGATGTCATTCGTGATTGCGAAACAATCTGAAAAAAGTTTTTTTTCTTTTTAATAGTAAAACTGAAATAATTTCTAGATAAGGAGTATGAAAAATAATTGTCCTCTTGTTGAATACAAAGAATGTGAAAGAAAAAACAACACAACATGATCTCCATAAAACTTTAAAAAAAGATCCTTTCTAATTTTAGTATGGAAAACTCAATATGAATATTAAGATGAATAGTTTGGAGACAGTTTAGTTTTTCTAATAGAAAAAAAAAACTTAGAAAAACAAACAATCAATGAAATCCACCTACACAATTAATTCTGATGATTTGACCATGTTTGCTTTGTTACTTAAGGTAAATAATATACATGTGTGAACATGTGTATATATATATATATATATATCGAAGGGACATTAGATTTATTTATTTATGACGTTTCGTTTTCAAGAAGTGGTTCACTTCAATGGATTATTGATCTTTTTTCTTTTGATAATGAACTACAAGTTCAAACTACAATAAGATATCTTTGGACAACAAGTAAATTTATTTGACATAAATAAGCTGGAAATATGTACATTTACCAATATCTAGTCAGTCAATCAGTTACAACATAGGAACAGATACATATAATACATCGGTCCAAGTTTCCATTATCTCGTTAGCATAACAAGATGAACACCAACTTCATAGAAGTAGTTAGTTCATTGGTAGTAAAAAATATTTCATATAAGGATATGGTACAGGAAGAAAGAATTAGCTCGTAGAAAGTAAAGTATAAAGTAGTTTTAATCTCAAGGTTTAAAGTAAGACAAAGAGTGTATACATCGACACCATTGTGATCGATTCTAAGCAATGTCACCCAGAGTATCCAACCATTTATTACGATAGACGTGCGGACCCCAACCAAGTAGTTTGCATCTACTAATATGGCTCATTACAAGAAAACTAGACTATCTGAAGATGATTAGATAATACTTTGAATTGGTTGAATATCTACTTAATAGTTTTTTTGAAAAATTATTAACTATTCACTACAAGATCTTAACCTTTATCAACAATTCACTAGAACTGATTACATAAAGTAATGATTATTAATTTGATAGTTGAATTCATGAGTCAGTCGAAACTAGACCACCATGGAAAACTTAAAAACACTAAACAGCCGTTTCGTCCTAATATGGGGCTCCTCATTAGTGAGCATCCATGATCCCACGTCACGAAATTCGAACTCAAGACCTAACAGTTTCGGGCGCAAGCGCTTAACCTCTTAAATTTATGAATTCAACTATTAAATTATTATAATATCCACGAAACTCCACTCTGATTATAATGATGAACTGTTTTTAATAGTTAGATCACATTAGAAAAAAAAAGTTGACGATGATATGAACACACATAATTACTGGGACCATTTAAAAAAATAGGATTTTATGATTAAGAAGAGAAAAAAAAAGAGAATCATCATTGGACATATGATTTATTGATTATTTTTGTGTAGTATACTGATCAGCAGATATTGATTTATGAAAGACAATTTGAAGATGAAACAATAAACTTATATTAGATATTTGTACTTTAATGATATACAAGAACATAACGAATAGATGAAATAAATAGAAAGAAATGAAGATAATAAAAGTATCCCATTTGAGATTTAACGTTAAATAATAGGTAGTGGATCAAAAATTACATGGACTCAAAAATGGCAATAAAGTTATTACATCTAAAAATTAAAATGTATGAATATATTAAATATGGTTTACAAACATAAGGAAAAGTTACGGGACGTTACTTAAATTGGTAGGTCTCGGTGTGTTCGAGCTGCATTTAGTATAATAATTGACAGTTATGAGCGATTAATAATTCTAAAGAGAGTTGTTATAATTTCAGCGGTATATCCAGATGACATATTTAGTGAAAGTATACCTGTAGTCTATAAATGTAGATATTCAATATTTTAGAGTTTAGTTATTGTAACAACAGGCAATTCAGAACAGAAGACGTGTGTGTATGTTTGTGTTTAGTAATGTATTTACGAGCGATTATGAATATGTTGTGCTATAAGGTATTCAAAATGGAAAAGGAAACATTCAAGGTCATGCAGTATCAAACAACCTTTCCAGTCATTTGTAGTAAATGTACAAATGATGAGAATTAACAACAAAAAAGAAGGAAATGCAAACAGTATCATGACTATCTTCACAAATATGACAAATATATGCTTGACTAATATACATTCATAATACTTTGAAATGAGATAGATTCATTAAAAGTAACAAGATTTCTATTGAATTAATTATTTTAAGGAATTATATACCATTTAACTAGATTGTGGTTTATGAATAATAGAATGTTTTAAATTCTTTGTTCAATGAATGTATTTGTACCTCTTTTTTCTTCTCCTTCATAATCTTTCTTCTTAAGTGACAACATATCACTACAACTTAAATTGGAATTTTCGTTGACATCATTAATCTGTCCAATACTTTCCCCCCTCTCCTTCCTCCTCCTCCTCCTCCTCCTCCTCCTCCTCCTCCTCCTCTACTACTACTACTACTACTACTACTACTACTACTACTACTACAAATAATAATAATATTCATGATCAGTGATCAATAATTGAAATTTTATTCCCATGTGGCTATCACAATTTCAAAATGAAATCTAAACTTGACAGAAATGATGTACTTTTTTATTAATATTTCTAACTAAAAAGTAAGGTGTGATTGATCAATCTAGTCGTTTGAACACGGTGAGAAAAAATTTCTTAACGAATAGCAAACTTTTATTCCTGGTTCCTTATCTACATTCTCTTATTCTCTCTTTCATTCTTGGTTACTCCATACACCTTGTATACACAATCCCTTTCCGATCAAACTCTTTTTTTTTAAATATTTCATTAAAGAAGTTTACTATTAAGTATTTTAATGAGAATTACAGCTGTATGTTGAAGGCGTGTAGTTAAATTATAAAAAAAAACAAGAAGTTTCAATTTAATGATAATAAAGTAAATATCACGATCGAATGTTTCACATATAGTAACTATGTATAGAAACAATGACAACACCAGCGGGACCACAAATAACAACTGTATGAAATAGTGTTGTGTTTTTTTTTCTCTCTAAAAAGTGTAACCTTTCTACCCTTTTCCAAAGCATAGAGAAACAGTTCATTTTGTCTATAAACAATAAATATCTATAACTTAAAATATACACGTGACATTGATGTGAATATTATGTTAGACATTCATATTCTGTTTTTCACACTTAATTATAGATATATTTTGTATCTAGGCCAATGATAGTCAATATATACATATATGGAGTTATCTCTTTGGTGAATGTGTGTTCCTATGTTTCATTTGTATGATCAAGGGATCATATTCCCAATACCTTTTACCATGAAGATAACTTCATAGATTTTTGACTTTATCTATAAAATTAAAAATTAAATCAAACTTTTTCTAACATCGTAAATACATATTAGATTGCATTATACTACTTTAATGTACAAGTGTAAATAATAAATTTGTATTCTTAGACAATTTATGATAGTCAGTAGATATTGTATTATATTTAAAACCAATAGAACAATAATTCTCAAAATCTAAAAAATTGATGGACTAGTAAAATACAGAGATAGAGATTATTATGTTCTCTTAGCAACTGGACATTATTATTATTAGTATTGTGTAAATAGTATTTATGATAGATACATAAACTTCAACTGAATAGGCAAAGAAATCTAGATTATTATTATTAGAACGAAGATTTAAGGAGATTGTAGTAGTTTTAATAGTTGGATTCATGAGCCCATCTAAACTAGATCACCATTGAAAACCTGGAAATATTGGATAGCTGTTTCGTCCCAGTATGAAACTCCTCAGCAATATGCATCCACGGCCCCACATCTAAGATTTGAACCTAACAGCTTCGTTGTAAACTCAACCCCAAACTACCACATTTTCGACAGTTGGATGATATCAAAACTGAATAAATGAATATATACACTTAACTGGTGGATGCTTCATAAAGTATATATCAACTACATTTTCCAAAACTAAAATAAAAATTTAGTAGTTAAATCATCTTTAGATTAGTGAAGACGTCACCAGAAGAATTCAAATAATATTTATACTACTTTTCATTATCCTCTTTAATTCATGAATTACAATAAAATATTATTGGAGATCAGAAGATGAAAACTGATCTGTTAAAACGCAAAGCTCAATAACTGGAAACGACCAAACAAGTATTCTAAACATTAGTTTAATAGTCAGTTATATTCTTCAAATAGATGTAATTTCAGTCATATAGTATCTGATATTTGTATTTAAGAGAGTTCAACAAAAATGGATGTTGTATATCTTCAATAACTGTTGATTGGCATTTAGGTCTATTTTTAAATTAGTTAAAATCCAATCAAGTAATACAGTACAGATAATTCGCTAGATTTAAGAACTCTAACAATACTGATTGTTCATCATCCAAAAAGATTACTGTCATATTATGGATTAAAACATCATCAATAATGAAAAGAAATAGTAGTATTGTGGTGTGTGGTACTGATCTCGACAGATATAAGTAGTATGTGTCATCAATTGAAAGTGAAATGCCTAGTGGCAGAAGATTAAGAAGACCAAAGACCACAGATCACCTTTTGTAAACTCACTAGGTAGCAAATAAAGAACAATACGCTCTTAACTATCAGACGGTTTATAGTTCTTCAATCCCTAGAGCAGAGTTCAATTGGTTTGAATGATATTTTTCTGATCATCATTTTTAGCAAATTCATTTTGATGAGTTTGGTATGTTAATCCCATCTCCAATATTCCTCTTTTATTCGGATTTGAGACTGATAGTCCTCCTAGAATGGTTCCTGGTGAATTTTTATATCATTTATCTTAAATCAATTTAGTTCAATTAAATTTTTTAACAAATGTAACAAGTTGAAATCATGGGTCAATTGAAGCTAGACCACCATAGAAAACGTGGAAGCACTGGACCTACTGTGAGACAAGTGTTAAATATCTATCTATTTACTAACATTGTTGAATTCTATACTTAAAATGATCTTCCCCTGTCTTACCGTAACTTACAATTTAAACGTTTTTTTTTCTTCTATAATATGAATTTAGTATCTTGTTTTCTGTTTGTCAAAAATCATCCGACAATAAAAGTTGATTAGACGTAAGTACACACTGGTATCAAATAGCGAGAGAGATAGAGAGAGAGAGAGAGAAGGAGAATATGAAATACTTAAACATATATGAATGTATATATTTCTATAGGGATATTTTGAACAAGTGAATTATTTATCATATTTTGTTTAGGTCATTTAAACAAATAAACAACAAAACAAAAACAAGCAAACAAACAATTTTCCATTATATTATTGAACATATTACATAATTATTTATAGGTAAATAAACAAATGTTTATTTAGTTACTATGCCAAAAGAAGTACATGGGTCAAAGTATTGAATACTCTTGTTGACATTATTTTGATTATTATTAAATAGAGAATATATTCTTCTCCAAATGAAATAAATAACATTTCTAACTTCAGGTATGTGTAGTGAACAGGAACATGACTGGGGATAATTGAATGTATTCGACATGAAATTACAGAGCGTCTCAATAAAATCTGAGAACTATATAGTAAATAATTAATTTGCAAAATATCAAATCATCTCAAATTTGACTGTTCCTTTTGCAAATATCAGTCCATTGTCTCAGATTTCATTGTTCATGCATTTTCATACCGATTGTGTTCCATTTCCACTCTTTCTTTATCGATTTTCTGCTGAAATACATTCTGTGCCTGACCACTGTTATATATTACTTATATGGATATAAGTAACCCACATCACACATGTAAAAAGATAATTATTCAATAAAATGATAAATATTAGATATCTACCGTAATGATTAAATATCAACTCACGAGTTGATGGATTTGGCTATTTTAAGATTACATTTAATTAAAATAAGATGACATGTAGCTATCAGGAATCAGTAGCTATGTGGATAATGCGATGGTGTTTGAAGCGAACGAGTCCCGGAGTGGGGATCAACTCTAAGATGCAGGTACATCCAGCTGGCGAGTCCCAAATAGGATGAAATGAGCGTCCTGGATTCCACTGCTAGCCACTATTCATCTTTGCTGAAAAAAATATTAGGATTTAAAAAGAAATACAATATGATTGAATTTAAAAGTAAACAAAAGTTATTCGATCAATATTAGGCACTTTTTAAAAAAAAAATAATCAGAAATGAAGAAATCCTAATGATGAACTCAATGAATGTGTTCAATTATCAAGCTACTATAGCAAAGACAAGGTTCATTTGAAGGTTACTGTTAATACTGAATTGATTTAGATCTTTTAAGAATTGAAACAAAACTGTGTATGTTGTGAGGCAGTTACTCATTGAAGACAATGTTGGACGGTCGTATAATATATGGATTATTTAAAGTTAAACATTAACGCTATTAGATCCTGGCTCAGTGGTCTAGAGGTTAAGCGTTCATGAGCAAAACCAAAGGTCTTGGGTTTGGAATCCCTCGTGTGAGATCGTGGACGCGCACTTCAGAGAAATTCCATACTAGGATAAAACGACCGTCCAGTACTTCCAGATTTATCAGAGTGGTTTGTGTTAAATCGACTCATGGATTCAACGATTAAATTATTAAAATTTCCACAAACTCTCATTCTGACAAAAAATCATTCTTATTTTGATATTGAACATATTAAGATTAAATACTTGATAATTAGAGAAATGAACTAAAGAAATTACTTATTACTCATATTATTGTTTTGTTTTTCCCTCCTTTAATTTAATTTAATAAAAGAATTTCAATTTATGTTCAATGAATAAATGTGGATCAACAAATTGTGAATGCAAAATATTCCAGCCTATTTTAAGTAATATACGTCAATGTACAAATTGTCATCATTCATGGACTCTACATGGTAAGTCATCTATTCATTAAATTATATTCATGTATCATGTTTGAATTAACAAATCTCATAGTTCTTTAATATAGTTATATAGATTATTCTATAGTTTTCTCTTTGATTACCCGTGTATCTGTAATTCTTAAACCGTGTAATAAAGATTGGAACTTAACAGGAAATTTTAGTCGACGCGATGACGTTTGAAGCGAATGGCACTGGGTTCGAGTCCCAGAGTGAACATCAACTCTGAGATGCAGGTACATCCAGCTTACAAGTCCTAAATAGGATGAAACAAGCGTCCTGGATTCCACTACTAACCACCATTCATCTTTACTTAGAAAATAAATTTTTTCTTGTTTAAAAAAATGAATCCCTACTAGTTCACAAAGAATCTTAGTGACCAGTAGAATTCAAACCGGTTTGTTGTGAGATAGTAACTGACTATAAACAATAATGGATGTGTCTCTCAATTCCGTCGATTAGTTGAAGTTAGACATTAACACCATTGTGTACCGATTCAGTAGTCTAGAGGTTAAGTGTTCTCACGCAAGGCCGGTTCTGAGATCATGAATATGCACTGCTGACGAGTCCAACAATAGAACGAAATGGCCGTTGAATACTTTCAGGTTTTCCATAATGATCTAGCTTCAACTGACTCATGATCTCAACTATTGAAACTAATAAATTTATTCATTTTTATCAAATTATAACTTCAAAAAGTAAACTGTTTCTTCTAATCGATCAATCCATGTTTTTCACAAGTTTCTTTACAATCTTTTTAAAGACAAAGAATAAGAAATTGGAACATTAAAATCTGTTTTCTGCCCCCCCCCCATTCTTTCTATTCAATGTACAAATATTTTTATGTACATTTAAAAAGAAGAAAAAGAAATTCTGTATGTAATGTCACAATTCTCGTTCAATTTTATGTCTTTTTCTTATGCCTATTACCTTAAATTGTATTAAGATAGATAGGATGATGACAAAAGAAAAGAATAAAATTTCCATTGTTATCTACGATTAATAAAGATATTATATTGAATATAGAATTCTTTCTATTGACTCATTAGTAGTTAGGTATTTAAATCATAAACACATAAAATTCTATTCTATTTAACTAAATTTTAAAGAAACTATGAAAAGACAAAAGTTTGAAATAGCTAAATAAGAAATTATAGTAAGGTAAATTAGCAGTAACAACATTACCACTATTACTATTACTATCACTACTATTACTACTATTACTATTACGATTACTACTATTACTATTACTACTACTAATACTACCGATACTACTACTACTACTACCACTAATTATTATTATTATTACGGTAATAAAAATTTCGGGACAACAGTAAAACACAACACCTTTTTTCAGTATTGTACATTGAATGGAAGGTGTGTAAAAAAAAGGATTGATCAGATAACAATGTTGTTGTTGTTGTTGTTGATGATGTTCATGTTTTGTCAATTTTTGCGGAGACTGATGATGATTTATAAATGAATGAAAAGAAAGAATATGAAATAAAAGAATTATTTATTTCTTCATATTGATTATTTGTTACTGGATCATATCAACATTATTAGTTCTACTTTATAAGACTAATGTATAACGATTTTATCTACAAGGTAATTGTCAATAAATAGAAGGGAATGCATAAGTTTTTACACCTACATATATATATACAAGCAAAAACTGGACACACATATTTTATATGTTAATAGACTGAATTGGACAATCAGTTAACCAGGTGTGGAAAAATTTCCACTTATAACACATACAACTAATTTTTTTCAGTAAATGGTCACCAGTTTAGTAACAAGTTAATTACCGACTTACTCTAGACACTATTAATATTATAAACAATAAATATATAATTGAAAACAAATTAGAAATCGAGCTATAAAAAAGAACAAAAACAAAGAGTTATCAACAAATATGGAATGTGGTTAACAGTGGAATCCATGACGCGCGTTTTGTCCTATTTGGTACTCTTCAGCTGAATGTACTTGCATACCAGGATTGATCCTTACTCCGGGACTCATCCACTTCAAACGCCGTTGTGCTACTCACTTAAATACTTAATACTGATGGGGTGAAATTTAAATTCATTTGTGTTGTTTGTTTGAATCTTCCCATTGATGTTTAGGACTGCAATCGATCAGTCTTTCATTGGCATATGTACATACTGTGTGTATTGCCTCGATATTGCTTTAAGTCACAATCATTATAAGTCTAGATGGATGGTGCCAATATCGAGACATTCCGTTATACATTCAAAATACTTTTATTGTTATGTCCATTTTCTTCTTATAATGTTAAGTAGAAATAATTTCTCCTTAAAAGTCGTATCATGTAGATGTCAACAATTCTATTTAATGATATCATGTTAGATCATGAACGAACTGAACGATATGAAAATAGTATGAAATAAATATAGAATATAGTTGTGTATATTGATTGGTTACTCAGTAGTAACAAATAATACATTTATCTTGTCCGTAATTTTGATCAGATTTCATAGAAGAAATTATAATATGATCACCATTCTAAGCAATTCAACATCACGTTCACTTTGTCTTCATATTAAATAGTTGAACATAGTCAGTAGGAAACTGTGAACACTCGTTAAGTTCTGTCTGGAATTGTGAGGAAACCTATCCACTCTGTGAGATTTGAACACACATCACCCAGTTGAACAATTTAACATATCACTCAGTTACTGTTTACTGATGAGTGTTTGGTTGCAAGAAACTTAAAATCTGAATTTCCTTTCGACTACATTAAACTGACATAGATTATACAATCCGATCTATGAAATCTTCACTTACACAGTTGAGTTATGTTATTTTGAAATCATTCATTATTACGGTGAATAACTAACGAGATCCATGGCTACGTACTAGAACATTAAGAAATCGTTCTTTAAACTAGTCATTCTATATAAAGTTTATTATGAGAAAAAAACCGAAATATTCTTATGAAAGATGTATTGTTAGATAAAATACACTTTTCTTTTATTGTTTAGAGAAGCTAAAGGATAATGTTATGTAATGAGTACATTTGACGTTTCGTGACTTAATAAATGCCTCACTGAATCATTGCATAACACTACCCTTAAGCTTCTCTAACCAATGATTCAGTATGATATTTTTTGTTTGTATATAAAATAAAATTCCATCTATGATGAATGTTTATCTTGTTGCTTTACATGAAGTTATATCAAACCTATATACAATTCTAACACATTGATTATTGAAATACTCTTCCGATCGTATTCCATAATATTCTTTTTGTGTTCTTCTTCTCCTTCTTCTTCTAATTAGTTCTTCCAAAATTGACAAATTTACCAGTATACTTCGAATTGAATAATTCATCAAATAATATAATATTAAATGCAACTTTAGAATTATTAAGTATGTCATTGTTTGGTTGTCAAGCAATACCGATGAGAATTAAAATTTTATTAGATCGTTTATTATCTGGTCAATTAGCACATGCTGATGTTGTCAAATTATTATTAACATTTGGTTGGACATTTCAAGATTATAGCCGTGGTTATATGTTAACTGTAAGTTTATTTCTTTATTTATTAAAATTAATACTCTTTATATTATCTAATATATATGTCTATTAGTTGTTATTTAACTATATAGGATCCTTACTTCTTTGGAATATGATGTTAAGTTGAAACAATTGTTCAGTTCATTCTGATTTTTAATGAATGTTTAGATAAATTTAGTCTTCACAATTCTCTCATCATTCTAATCATCAGTTAAGTTTTGAATTTTACTCACCAATAATAAATCGATACGAATAGTTACTCATAGAGAAGGATCGACTATCTCAGAAGAATCAAGAATACTATGGGCTGAATGATATTTCTTATCATATATTATTTACATAAATACATTATAAATGTTTTTCTGGTTAGCGTTTTTTTAGCGAGTTAGTTTTCTACGGGAAGCATCATCGATGAACAAGGAGGTTCAGATGCAGAATTAAAGGCAAGGATTGGCAAAGAAAGGGCCGCATTCCTACAATTGAAGAACATATGGAACTAAAAACAACTTTCAACCAATATCAAAGTGAGAATCTTCAATACAAATGTCAAGGCAGTTCTACTGCATGGAGTTGAAACTTGGAGAACTACTACAACCATCATCAAGAAAGTGTAAGTATTTATAAATGGTTATCTACGCAAGACACTCAACATCCATTGGCCGGATACCATCAACAACAGCCTTCTGTAGGAGAGAAAAAACCAACTTCCAGCTGAAGAGGAAATTAGGAAAATACGATGGAAATGGATAGGACATACATTACGCAAGTCATCAAACTGCATCACTAGGCAAGCCCTAACCTGGAATCCTGAATGGAAACGGAAAGAGGAAGGCCAAATAATACATTACCTCGAGAAATAGAAGCAGATATGAGAAGGATGAATAGGAAATGGAAGGAGCTGGAACGGATCACCAAGACAGGGTTGGATGGAGAATGCTGGTGAGCGGTCTATGCTCCTTCCCGAGGAGTAACAGGCGTAAGTAAGTAAGTAAGTAACCCTAAATGTTAAGCATTTATTGATAATTAGTCTTAACAACTAATTACTTTTAAAAATTCTCTTTTGTCCACTTTTATATTTTAGAATCCAAATGGTACATTAAAAGATCATTGGGAAATGTGTAATTTAGATGAAGAAAATTTAATTATTCAACAATTTCTACGTTTTCCTGAAACTTGTCAACTAGCATATTTAATGTTATCACAAGGATGTAATCAAAAAATTCCAAGTGGACTGTTAAATTTAAATTCAATTATGAATCGAAATTTTTCACAATCAACTTTTACAAGTCCATTATCACAATCGGGTAATAGTAGTGTTACTGCAATTACTACTAGTAACAATATTACTAATACTGCTACTACTGCTACTAGTACTAATAACAGTATTAGTAATATCGATAGTATTAATGTTAATCACAGTCATATGTCCCCTGATCCAACTTATAAATTAAAGTCGGACATAAAATATGAAAATAAGAAATCACAAGATATCACTTCAGGATTATTATCTCCAACAATTACTGAAGTATCACCAAACAGTACTAGAACATTGACAATTTCATCATTTTCTAACAGTTCCTCATCGTCTGTTTCACCAGCTAACGAGAATAAACAACGTAATTCTACTGGTAGTGTACTCAATTCACCAAACAGTATAAATAATACTCCATACAATAGTAATGATAGTAGTATTAATAGTATAAAAAAGAATAAAACTAATAATTCTCATGAATACTTAGAAATAACTAGAAATGACATTGAATTCGATCAAACCTATCGAATAACAGGTAAAAATAACTGTAAACAAATGAAATATAATGGGAATGAACAAAACTTTGATTTGTTAATTGGAAACAACAGTAATTCATTAAATACTAATATAAACAACAATGATAATAATGATAGTAATAATAATAATAGTTATAATAATAATCCATTTGTTGCTGCAATGGCAGCAGCTGCCGCAGCTGCTGTTAGTGGATTTCCATTACCTTCGAATATATTCAATAGTTTAAATCCATTTATAAATAATTCAACAATAAAAAATTCAAAATCTTTCCTAGATACAAAATTATTAGATATGAAATTAAATGAACAATTATTTCTAAATAAACTATGTGATAAATCCGATATTCATTGTTCAATAGAAGAGAGAAAACCTATGGATCATAGTAAATTATCATTAATAGCATCATCAAATCAAGATATTTTATCAAATCATAATTTAATGAATTTTCCACCATTTAATTCATCAACATTTCCAGTTACATCACAATTAGCTAATGCATTAGTTGCTGCATCGACATTTCATTCAAAACATACATCTTCAATCATATCATCGTCTTCAACATCATCATCATCATCATCATCAACAGCAGCAGCAGCAGCAGCAGCGGCAGCAGTAATGGCCGGAGCATTAGGAACGCTTTCAAATATTACTCTAAACAATACTGTAATGTCACTAGGAGCTTTCACAACGACTACAACAACAACAACAAATTCAATGTCAACGGCGGTAGCAACAACGACAACAACAGGTTTTCCGACATCTTGTAATCTTAACAACAGTTCTTCTCCAAATAGCTTGATGAATATAAATATATGGAATGATGTTCAGATGCCATTTAAATTAAATAATAATAATAATAATAATCAAATTCCATTAGGTCAAAATCAAAGTATTTCGAATGAACAAACAATCCCACTTCATTCAGTTGATACTAGTTTATTTGGAGTGAATAATTGGTTACCGAATACCTTACATAATTTATCTACAATGGATCAAGGTAACTTATTTATGTCTGTTTAGACTAGAAAGATATACATATTTATTTTACATTAGCGATTTACATGAAAATGTTTTAATGACTTTTAGTTCAAATAGTTGAATTCATGAGTCGATTTAAGCTAGATCACCATTGAAAACCTGGAATCACTGGATGGTCATTTCGTCCTAGTATAGGACCTCTCAACAGTGTGCATCCACGATCCCGCATGTAGGACTCGAACCCAGGACCTTCGGTCTCACGTATGAACGCCGGCTCAGTGGTCTATATAGATTAAGCATTCGTGTGCGTGACCGAAGACACAGAGTTAGATTCCTATATGGGGGATCGTGGATGCACATTGACGAGAGGTCACATACTAAGACGAAACAACCATTCAGTGATTCCAGGTTTTCAATGGTGATCTAGCTTAAATCGAATCACGAATTCAACTATTAAACTTATTACAATCTCCACAAACCCCATTCTGACTTTAAATTTACTGGAAAATGGTAAAAATTATTTCATCGTATATTTAAAATTTATCAAAATTCCTCGATAATCAATTATTTCTAGGAATTACCATCGATTTTGAGAAATCTATTAAAGGAACACATTACAGTGAACGAATTCGATTCAGGATTGAAATGATTTATAGTTGTTCATCCTTTCTTCATTTTATTAATAAAACATTAAGTTTCTGATAGATCACTGAAGAAATGAGTAAATAATTCCCTTTGTGAATGAATTTTTTGATTAAACTGTTTCCAAATGAAGTGCGTGATCTACCATCTTCCACAGAAAACACTTTTGTGAAATATACTGATGATCTCAATGTATGTATGCCTATCTCTTCCTCTTAACATCAAATAGAAATGAATGAGTTTTTGTCTCGTATTGATTGTTGATCTGCTGTTAATGGTCTTATACTTAATCCGTCTAAATATCAAGCTGTTAACTTTAGCATGAGACATGAACGGCATCTAAACACTATTTTGAGATCCCATAATGCTTGCGCCATTCGAGATTCTTTGATAAACACAGTGTCGAAGGTCAATTATCTTGAGGTCACCTTTTCCTCTGATCTGTCTTGGTTTTCTCACGTTTTATTGTTATCGAAGTAGGTTTTCCGTCTGACTTACCACATAAAGAGATTTCATGCTCTGGGAATTACGCGTCATTTACTCTTACAATTTTTCAATTCTTGCACATTACCTATTATTACTTACTATTCTCCACTATTCTTTCCCGGGATTTTGAGAAAAGACTTTGCTGTATTGCGGAGAGTACTGAAGGCAGTTATCAGGGTGTGTGGTGAATCTTTCGAGGTCATAATTAATATGGTTGTGGATAGACATTTAAAATCATGCAAACTCCTGGCAGGTGTTATTTTATCAGATACTAGCCATCCCCTTCACTCTTATCTTCCTCCTTGTATATCTTCTTGTAGAACGAGACGAAATTACATTAAAATCCATGCATGCAAGCAAAAGTATAAAAGTTCTATAATACCTTACCTAGTAAGTATACTCTGTGACGAACAGGTTGTTAGAGTGAACCTAGTCAATAACCTTCATTCTTAACATATCTCTAATTTGAAATGTTGTAGTTTTTCGGTTTTTTAAACCTTTTGTTCCCTTTTTTGTCTTTGTTTCTGTTTTTTGTGTGTGTAAGGAACTTGTTGAAATACCTACTGCTGAAAATTCTATATTGTACCAAAATATAATATTGAATAAAGCCATTAATAATAATAATCTACTAAGAATAGATGTGTTACATGTGATTTACTTAGTTAGACAGTAATTTCGAATATTTCAAGATGTTACATATCTAGATAAAATTTCTTAGATTCTTTAAGAAACTTACCTAATTCAAAGTAAACAATCATTTAAATTGTATTCTCCTCAAGATATTTAATATTATAATTGCCAAATTGAAGTTTCTCCTTTATTTACAAGACTCATCAGTTGTTTACAAAACATGTAGTCTTGGAACAGTTTTAATTTACCCAAAAAGTCAATGCAATATATGGACAAAAAGCAATGCATATATACATACACACGTACTTGTTGTCCTGCTACGAAAAAAAAAACAATTGGAATTAGGTCAGTAGGTATAATTTCCTAACATACACTTACACACACATTCACTATCACTTTTTCTCTTTCTCCTTTTTATACTTCATATGCATATTTAAAACAAAAAACACAACGAAAATCTCTACAAAATTCTTTCAATAAGATCGCATAAACCTCTATCTTTCCAGTATCAACAAATTGATCTTCTGGGGCCATAATAATAATGTCAATGCAACATATAAATATATATCATTAAAATAACCTAATAACAAGTGGGTCTATAAGAAGCCAGAGGTGGATAAATATCTGCGCTGATGAAGCAAAAAAGATTGTTTTGATATAATAATAATAATAATAATAATAATAATAAGTATTATTATTACTACACCGTCCATAATTACTAGCTAATTATCATAAGAATGATAAGAAATCTCATGAAGACTGTACACAACAATCAAAATAACAAAATAATTAAGAAGGCTAGGTCAGTTAGTTAGTAAATGTATTAATTGAAATATGTAATTGTTTTTTTACATCACCATTTTTCTTTATTCAACTACAATGAAAATAAACAATAAAACAACTATGGATAATTATAATAATCGACATGGATACAAATCACAAAATTCCATAATGGCGTCTATTAATATTCGATTAGTTATTAAAAAAATGGGGGGGGAGAAGGGAAGGGAAATACTGAGATAACGAATTGTTTTAATTCATAATTTAATAAACAGGTTAAGATTATTGAAGAGGTTATGAAAAGTTTAGTTTTAAGGTGTTTCATTCAAATAAAAATAGATGGGAATTATTAGTTTCTTTTTGATCATTTATCGTTTATATGGCTCCATGAATCATACATTCTTCGATATACTGCACCTTCTTTCTTATGGTTTATTAATTTATAAAAAATTACTATTTAATCGAATTATACCGTATAGAATAGGATATTTCTTAGTATGAGGGAGGAGAATGTGGAGATTGATTATAATTAGAAAGGGAAACATTGAATAACAGTTTTGTTGTAGAACAGGATGTCTCACATAAAAAAATCTCTATGCTGTTACTGGAGGCGAACTTGATGAGGTAATTGATGGAGTACAAGTTAGTGAGAAACCGTAATCATTGAAGTTTAAAGTTAATTGGATTGTGATAAATACAACCAGTGACAAAAGACATTGGTCTAATAATATTACCAGTCGACTGAAGTTATCACGTAAACTCTTGAGTTACAGTTCTATGGTCTCAAATTTAATAATTTGCTTTAATTCCCCTAGACCATGGGTTCGATCCTCATTGGGAACGTGAATATTCACTGTTAAGCAGTCCCATACTAGAATGAAGTAGTCATTCAATACCATGTGATTTTCAGTACTTCTCTAATTTAAGTAAGTCCGTAAGTTAAGAATACAAAATAAAATAGCCCACAAATAAAATGAATATTGGACAATGGTGGATGTGTTGCTCAATTCCGTCGATTAGTTGAAGTTAGACATTAACAACTTTGGATGCCGGTTCAGTAGTCTAGAGGTTAAGTGTTCTCACGCAAGGCCGGTTCTGGGTTCGAATCCTGCGAGGCGGGGTCGTGGATGCGCACTGCTGAGGAGTCCCACGGTAAGATGAAGGAGCCATCCAGTGCTTACGGGTTTTCCATAGTGGTCTAGCTTCAATTGACTCATGATCTCAACTATTGAAATTAAATAGTTTTTGTCATGTTTTATTCATTCTCTCATTCTTTTGACTCGACAAATGGAAGTTAACAGATCTGTAGCAACCTGTTCTACTTTAAAAAATTTTTCAGCCCTAACCATGTTTTGCCTTATTCTGGTAGAAATATACACTTAATTTTGTATTTATTAATAAATATCTACAGTCAAATACTCTAAGTAGTCAGCGATTAAATTAATTAATTGACATAAATGAATTCAAGCTGTTCACACAATTTTAAAAAACAATTACAGAATCTCTTGGTAAAATGAGGACCATACACTGAATACTTCATTTACAAATTTCCATCATTTGTCCTTCACATTCTGTATGATTCTTCCAGTTCACAATTCCTTTCTATTTCCCTTTCTATTCTTTTCAACTAGATCTTCTTAGCCTTCTATCAGGCTTTCCACTTCCGACTGGTGTTACATACTACTTGTGTCTGTCGACATAAGTAGCAGACACCACAGTAGTAGTGATAGTAGTATGAGTCAACATTTTGAATAACAAAATTTCTATCTCACTGATCAATGATCTAAAATGTTGATATCTACTTTAATTACTTCGTACTATTATAATTATGGTTGATTTAACAGACGAAGAGATGATAATCCAACGTTCTCCACTATAACTGTCTGAAATAAAATGTGATTGAACTCTATAACTTTGAATTTCACAATTAAATCACTTGAAAATTCATTTTTTATAAGTATTCATTAATGAATTCACTTGGTATTGTTTACTTGAATCTTCCGATTGATGTTTAGGACTGAAATTGATCAGTCTCTTATTGGCATATGTGCATACTGAGCATATTGCCTTAATTCACAAGCATTATACGCAGTTGTAAACATCAATGGGTATATTCAGGTGAACAGTACCAAGTGAATTTAAAGTTTACACTAGGAAGTGGCTACCACGACTCAGTGGCTAAGTGGATAAGACGATGATATTTGAAGCGAACAGTATTGGGTGAACATCAACTCTGTGATGCAGGTACATCCAGCTGACAAGTCCCAGATAGGATGAAGTGTGCGTCCTAGATTCTAATGCTAGCCCCTATTCATCTTTGCTTATTCATTAATAATCTACGAAATTCTGTTGAATGTTATTCTGTTTGTTTTTTTTTCATTTTCATTTGTTTATTTTAGAACAAATCAATTCAGAATTGATGCTTTTCAATTCAACTGCTAAAAATTTATCTACTAATTCATTGAAATCAAAATATTTTAATGAAAATCATTTATATCAGACTAAACGTCATCAGAATACATCATCGAATGATACAATACCAGGATCAACTCATCATAATCCTCATCATCCATATAAAATAACAAAACGAAAATATGAAAATCATCGACAAGATTTTGTGAAAACTCGACGAAATCATACATCATTATCAACAATAACAACTTCAATAGCAACAACAACAACAACAATGTCAGTGAATCAAATGAATTCGAATTATACAATTTCCAATATGAATTCATTAAATGAACATTGTAATGAAAGTAATGGTTATAATTTTGCCCGAAATAAAAAACGTGTTCTATGCACAACATGTAAAAAATCATTTTGTGATAAAGGTAATACATTTTTCATAAATGATTATGAATGATTAATTATGTTACATACATACTACTAATCATATATACATTTATTCTACGATTTAGAATCATTTACCAGAGTGAGATGGTGAAAAAGATTTGTAGTTCAAGTAGATAATTTTGGTAGAGTTTTGTTCTTTGAGTTGGACTTCTACTTGAAGTTTGTGCTGATGTAATCGTTTAAAAGAACGATGAAAGTTCCATGACCAAACCATCCAACTCAGTGAATAAAACTTCACCAAAATCACTTACATGGTATGTTAAAATGGGAGAAATATACATAATAATCTAATCAATATTAATATCGTAAGAGATGATAAATTCTTGGAACTGATCTTATTTCAAAAACAGAACTTTAGTTAGATTGTCCATACTAGAGGAAAATAGTGAATATTTAAACGGTTATTCTTATGTACTTTTAATGACTAAGGTAGAAACGTTTAGTTAACTTCAGTAGATAAGTGAAAGATGTATTTGCTAAGTAGCAATAATCGTTCTACATATTTCTGATTCTTAATAAAAGAAAGAAAAAAATGAACATGTTTATCTTATTAGAATACTGTAGTTCATAATGGTCAATATAAACAAACGGAATCGACCTACTGATGAAATGTAAGTTGGCGACATAAGAACTTTATGGAGATGGTTGAATTTTATGGTTTACACCATAAACTATCCCTAATTAGACAATCATTGGAAACTAAGAGGCACTAGACAGTTGTGATGTCTTGGTATGAGACTTCTTAGCAGTGTAAATTCATAACCTTACCGGTGGTTGAAAGAAGGATCTTCAGATCTCTCGGCAAGCGAAATCAATCAATCAATCGTATAAATTATAAAACTAAATTAGACAGGATAATAATAAAGCCTTATATTTTACAGTATTAGAACATTTATCCTGTTTAATTCCATTTCATGTAATTTCGTTTGTAACATCATTTGTAACATGAAATTTCATAGAGTAGTAGTAGTTTAATAAAGTTAAATCACTTGACTCTCAACTATTAGATAGTAAGTTTGACTTGTACAACACATACATCATTTTGTGTAGTAGGATACCAATTATTAGGCTTAACATAAACAGTATTATTCAAAGTCGAATCTACATCCCTTTATCTGATGAATAAATCACATTGAATTGAAAATACGAAACAATAAATTTTTTCTTTTTTTTTTATTTATTACTAATTTACAATTTTAATAGGAGCGCTTAAAATTCATTATAGTGCAGTTCATTTAAAAGAAATGCATAAATGTACAATTAAAGGTTGTAGTATGTGGTTTAGTTCTAGACGAAGTCGTAATCGTCATTCAGCTAATCCAAATCCACGTTTACATATGGCACATTCCAGTAAAAAACTTCCAGAAAACGCAACAATTGTTGATGATGGTAGTGGTAAGTAAAATTTAATTTACAGTTTTACTGTTATTGTATTCTTAGTTTAAATGATACAAATAACCAACACAATAAAGAACGGATGTTATCTTAGTAGTATAGAGGTTAAATGTTCACTCGCAAAACTAAAGTTCCTGGGTTTGATTCCAATTGGTGAGGTTGTGTATATACATTGCTGAGGAGTCCCATACTAAAACGAAACAGCGGTTTAGTGCTTTCTGGTTTTTCAATCATTATCTAGATAGGGTCGTTCCACTCTGTTAACTATGAAAATAAAATATCTATATCAAACCCTTATAATAAACAATAAAGAAGTATATGTGTTTTACTATTTTTCGTTTGCTACTAGTTTCACTATGAGATATCTTTTGTTGCATTTCCCGCTTAATAGATTCTAAAACAAATGTTATTAAAATTCAAGGTTCTAGTTCCCTTCATCATAATTTATCACTCTATCAATTAAGCAATGTATCATGTATGAGATGTTATGTAACCAATCAGTGTTATTATAGTCTAGTCAGTAGTACTGATTAAATTCCATAGATCAACAATTATACAACCGTATCAAGTCACTTTAACCAGTTTTCGATAGAATTCAATTAGTAATAAGGACTGAAAATAGGAATGATACTGGTGTCTATTTAGTGAGGCTAATTGTTGATCGAATAAATCTTTAATTGTGTTACTGGATTATGTTATTTGAAATCACCGATTACAACCTATAGATATACTCTCCTAGTAAGTGTTTACCAGTATGAGACTTTGGTTTGAAGCTTTCCGAAGATCTTTTTAAAGCAGCTGTCCTGGGAGTGAAAAACATCCACTGAAAACTAAGACAATTAATCTGGAATGAACCAAAAATTAAAATTTTAAATTGAGTTATGATAGGACTTTTCATTAGTGACTTTCAGGTTAGTGATCTAATGTTCGACTCCTAGTATAAAAGTTTAAAAAATCACTGATTGAAATTCTTCCTCTATTCAGATTACCTCTCAGATCCAGCTATGATAGCTGTATCTTTTTAACTACTTACAAGATAATTAGTAATATGTTGTTCAATATTCTGAAAATGTTTTTTTGGAATTTTTACTTTTAAATTTTAATACTGTTGCATATAAACAAATCGTTTTCGTTTCCTTTAAATATTTATATTTAGGCAAAGTAATAGGTAGACGTAATCCATTGCCTAATTCAGTGTTGAATCCTCCATTATTACCAGTTATTACAACAACATCGTCAACAATTAGTGCAAATTCTACATCCTATAATGAATGGACAAATGAATTCAATGATTCTGTACACATGAAAAATTCAACTACAAAGTGTAAATCATCAACTAAAAGTATTTATTCAATAGGTCGACGTAGACGTGATAGATCTCATTTAAATGAATATGTTAATTGGCCAAAATTATCAATGGATTCATTAAGTCATACATCAAATGATAGTCAACTTCAATCATCTCATTCTTCTCGTTTAAATTGTCGTCAGTCATATCACAATAATCAACAACATCGTCATCATAAACAACATTTAAACTCTTGGAAATATTGTAAAACTGAAACACATCCTGATGTTGAAATCAATAACAATGATCTTTGGGATAAATCACAATATGTTAAAAGTATTGATTCCAGTGGTAATAGTAAACATAAGGACAGTAGACAAGGTTATATATCAAGTAATAATAGCGAATTTGACGGTGATAACGATGATGATGATGATGACGATGATAACGAGGGAGAGGATGATGAAGATGAAGAAGGTGTCTTACTTCCAGATGGAATTAGTTCATTTGCTGATGAAAATGATAATGAAAATAATTCAGAACATAATCTGGAAGTTAGTAATAACAGTGAAAATGATAATGATGAGATTATTAGTGTTGATAATACAGATGAACAACAACAAAATATAAAATCTCAATTAACATTAACATCTTCAACTAGTACCAACAGAATTAATGAATTAAATGTACTAACTGATGCAGATGAAGTTGGTGAGATATTGTTGGATGAATATTATCCAACTAAAAAACATTCAAATTATAAATTGCCAACATCAGACTTTTCAGCTGCTTCATTAGCTCAATCACCATGTCATCATATTGATAATATCGATAGTTAAATAAATGAAATCAAACAGATTATGTTTTAGAAGCATGAAATCGATCCCCCCCAAAAAGTCTCTGAATACATCTATTTAAAAAAACAATGATCTCCTTATACAACTCATGATGGAATCAATAAGAGTTTGACTTGGTACAGTCTACACATATATTATTATTATTCAACTATTGCCAACCCCCAGCTCGACTTATTCTAGTCACAAAAATATGACAAATGTTACAATAATATATCGATTATTATTTGTCCAACGCTTTTCTTTTCTATTAATTTCCATGATTTGTAAATAAATTTACATGACTTCTTCTCTTCAATCATCTTTTATTTAATTTATATGAATATAATGTAATTCAGTCATAGTTTGTCTTATTTCTCTTTTTGGGAAAGAGAAGGACGATGGCGAAGACTTTTGTATATATATAATATTTACAAGTTCAAAGAGATAGCTGAATTTTATAGTTTGCATCACGTACTGTTACATGTTAGACGACCTATGAAGACAAGGATAGTTGTTTCGTCCCGTGATGTAAACTATAAAATTTCACATGTATATTCTACTTACTTATAAGTATGTAAGTTGTATAATTTGTAGAGAAATAGTGCGTGTTCTAAATGCGGCTCACCAAGTTTGTAGAGAAATAGTGCCTTCTATATCTGACTCCAATAAATAGTATCCCGTTAACTGAGTATTTAATGCAGGCTAAATCTCCTAGTAGAATTATGGATTTACTCGAGATTATTCAAAAGCCCGAACATCAGTTATAGAGACAGTGTACAGCAAGCAAGAACACAAGGAAACCAAGAGTGTGTGTGTGTGAGTGAGTGTTAAAAATCCATATATATATATTTGAGTGTTGATCAAGTATGGATAAATTATTGCTTGTCTGTGTTGGAGTGATCCGGAAAATTTCTTTCAAAAAACAAGCAAGGATCAGGAAACACTAAGAAGCGTTTCATCCAATCATCGCTCTGTCTGATTGCCATACTGCTACTATGTTTAGTAGCATTCTAGAATCTTCGAGCAACCCAAGGACATTTAAAAATATTATAAAAACCCTATATTTTTCATGTTAAAATGAACCTTGGAGTAAACTACTTCTCGCATACTTTGCATCTTCTCTCTCGTTCTAACTTGGGGGTTACAGAATAGCTTAGGAAACGAATGTAGCGTTCAATTCGTAAGACTTATCAGTCTGTGTATTACAACCAATAGCAGAAGAGATTAAAAATTGATGTGCAGAAATGTGCTCAATCATACTCACACAGAAATTTACATAGTGGATTAAGTGTCTAAATTATAGTGAGCAGATAAATAATACAGTAGTACGAACTCTCCCTAAATAATGAATATTCATGTTGTGTTTTTAATACTCGATGAAGTTGTTCCACGTTTATTACAGAATGCCAAGTTGAAGCTTTGAAAACAAATCATGATAATAATATTAAAGATTTTTTGAACATCCATGTAATCGGAACTTTTTGTTAAATTTAAATCAATATGATCCAATGATATATGTAGAAGGGAATAGTTGATCAAATATTTCCTTTATTAATCATTTATTGAATGAGTTTTCAACCTTTGTATTTACATTGAATCAATAACTGTTTTAAAATGAGTGAATACCATCTTGTTGTATGTTGCATCGTCGCATACAATCATATGGAAACTTTTGATCCAGGCTTTGTCATTCGCATTTATATCCAAACTTAAAGAGACTGATCCTCTCTATTAATTTTAATCACACTTCACTTAGTTTCACATGAAGAGATGTTATCATTAGATTATATAGCGAGATTATAATTTATGGACGAACCAATCACGTATAAGATGGCGCGAAATTCACTCATTCATTTGGCTAAATACAGTTTTGGCATTATAGCTTATGACAGTTCGTGATGAAAACCCTAAATCTAATTCCTAACCCTAACAATCAACTATAAATCATAATCCTTACTCTTCAAACTGATTTATAATCCTCATTTGATCCTAGTTATTAGGTGGACACTCTCAAGGTCACTTTAGCGTCGCTCAAAGGTCGCCCATAAATTATAGTCTCACCGATTATATTAGTACTTCGAATAACTTTGTGTAAGAGTAAAGTATTGACATTCTTAACTGATGATCATCATCAATAATAAATTCAATAAGTTCTTGTTACTATGATCACCAATTGTTCTATTTTTAGATTTCAGTTCGCTTATGTTATTGATAGGTTAATCGTTTAATTCTTTCAGATAACCGTCACTCTTTATCACATTATTCATTTTAATTCAGACTATCAACTATACATTCATACAATTTGGATACATATTCAATCTCTCATAACTATAAACTTACTAGAGCTAAATGAGGGTTATAAACCTATGTGAAGAGCAAACATTATGATTTACAATTGATGGTTAGAGTTACGAATTAGATTTAACATTTTCATCACTAACTGACATAAGCTAAAATGCAAAAATGCTACTTAGCCAATAATAGGTGAATTAATTTTGTGTTAAAAATCCAAGATGTATTATCCCAAATCTGATCGGTTCGTCTGTAAATTATGGTCTTGCCGAGATTGTTATTCATGAACAACTGTTGACCTATTGTGGCAATAAAAACACTGACTTGTACAATCTTTTGTATTTCAATGATTACCAATTCAATGTATGGATAATTGTTGAGGAACAGAATCGAAGTGATTGAACTATACACAAGATACTGGAAATATATATGCAGTTAGGAAAAAACAACTAATTAAAGACTGAGAAGTACTACAGGCTTTATTGAACGAAAAAAACTTCTTTCAATCTTCTGCTTTATTTCAAAAAGTTATTTATGGATGACAAGTCGTGATTCTACAAGTATATAATCTAACCTAACGCCCGACTGTTTAATTTGACGTTAGCTTAGATTATGCTTCAATCTAAATAACACTGTTATTTTGTCCTAGTATAAAATTATTACCAAGTGTGCATCTCTATGTCTCTATCAGGGATTGAATTGAAAATATATAAGTCACATAGTTAGAGCATTACCTTAAGATTACTATGTTAGTTTTTGAAGGTTCAAATTTCCATGTGGTTATTTACAAGTCGTCTGAATGAAGCTTTAAATAAACTAAAATGTGTTTAGATCAGTCAGTTAATAATTCCCAACCACAGTACTGAATTTCTAGAAACAAACTGATTTCCGTATGGAAACGTGTAATACAACATTGGTAAGAAACTATAGCCAATTTGTCAGAAATGATTGTTAGTAATTGTTAGATACTACATTTAGTGATTATATAAGAGATTTATTATTTTGTATTCGTGCTCCATATACTTTCAATCATTTTTCGCTTGAACGAAACCAAAACATAACTTTTTCATCCATTTGTAGAAAACAAACTTAGCGGTGTATATCTAATGACATTTAAATAAGTAAATATCTCCTCTCTATTGATAATAAACATTTAAGAATGAATTCATTCACTAATACTGAATACAGAGTAGAAAACATCCGGAAGAATACTCTGAATCTGAAAATTGATCATTGCCTGATAAAAATAACAGTTAAAATCAAAACATTGTTGGCAGGTCAGCTAACAATCAGTAATCAAAACAAAAAACAATGTATAGTCTGTAAACTAAAATCAAAACTCTAGATTTACCATCCCGGGACTTTATTTAGGATTGCTATTTGTACTACTTACAAGTACGCAAAATAGTTGAGCAAAATTAAATTACCCTAACTCATTTCGAAGGGTTTGTGGTACATGTAGTTAGTGATGTTGAGTATTTTTTTCATTTTAATTAGTTTGATGATATCGTGAAAAAGTTATGAAACTATTACCATTTTCGTCACTGGCTGGATATTAGAACCGTTCTAAAACAGTAGTTTAAAAAATCACTAAACTAATCTGAAATTCCAATGTATTTCATTATTTTATTTATTTTGAAATGCAATAATTTCATGATGTACGGTTGGAAGAAAGAATAAAAAGTTGATCCAAACTGTGTCATATACTGGATAATTCAAAAACATTCAAAAAAATAAAACTGAGGTTTGAAATTTTTAATCATCAACCGATTAGACCATTGATCCAACTCCAGTCTCATTATTTTCGTTATTGACAATGTTGAAGAAGAAAGCGTCTATTCAGAGAAGAAGATTGTCATTTCGATTATATCCCTTATTGAAGGTGTTTAATTGTATTCATAGTGATTTATTAAGTCTATGTGTGGAAGAATTATAGAAAGAAACGTCATCATAAAACATTTAACGGTTCGAAGTACCGAAATACACTTGAGGAATAATCTAAAGTTAAAAAGAGGAAAAAAAGAAAACAGTTTACGGGTCGGAAATAGGAGAAATATGTATCCACTGAACGGATATGAAGAACAAATGAAAGTTATAGGGATGAATGTGACAAGTGAATAATCATTAGAAAGGGTTTTATGAAGGTTATAACCACTAATTACTGATTTATGAGATAAAGCATAATAATAAAAAAACATCCTGTAAGGGTTGTTAGAACCAGAGAAAAACTAGAAACTTTACTAGTTGATTATGAACACAGTTCAGGCTTGATTTGTTGAGTAGACAAAGCCTCCATAGCTAATAAGTATTTTTATTTAACCTCCCTTTGATTCCACTCGTCTGACCCGTTAGATTATTTGAGGGACGATTACAGTTAACCAACATATGCACGGTTGATGAGATGTTCCTATATTGAACTGATAATTATTTTCCATTCTTCTTTTGAAAGCCCCCTCTAGTGATGTTCTAAGATGTGTTTGGAAATTATCCGCTTTGTATGCATAATGCTACCTGCTCCACAAGAGGAAGTAAACTTATAAATCCTCACTGCTCTGGCCCAAAGCCGAGTTCTAACTTTGGCACATTCATGAGTGTTAACTAATCTGTAGAAGGTAATACAAGGCTCAAACATGACAAAATGTTTATCTCAAAGATTTGGCAATGTAATTCTCAAACACTTTGTTATAATATTCCCTTTAAAATCAATGTTTATGAAGAGAGTTTTCTTTTAGACTATAGATAATCTGTCAGGTTGCATTTTGATTTCAGTTTCCTTTGTCAATGAACCTGAAAGGACAAACATATTAGATAAATATTTATCCAAGTTGGAATTGTTCATTGTCTATTGTATCCTCGAAAGAGAAAAGATAAAAGATGCAGGTAAATCCAGCTGACGAGTCCCAGTTAGGATGAAACGCGCATCCTGGATTCCACTGCTAACCACTATCCATAATTGCTTACAAAAAGCTTGTGAATTAAGGCAACATCGAAGCATACGCACAGTATGCACATATACCAATAACAGACTGATCAATTGCAGTCTTAAACCTCAATAAGAAGATACAAGGCAAACAATACCAAATGAATTTAAAGAAGTAAAATAGTTTCTCTTTCTACTTAATGAAATCTATATTTGAAAATTCATGTACTGATCATACTGTTTTATTTGGTTCTTTAACAAATATCAGATATATTCACTGTTACTATACTAATTAATATTAACAGAGAATATGGTATAGCAGAAGATCAATTCACTAAACACAACGAATATACATGAGAGTAGTACAAATTACTAAATAAAATTTATTAGAATACAAGTTACAATTTTTTTATACCTTTTAACAATCTCATTAAGTTATTTGATTCAATGAGATATGATTTATATCAACCTGTTATAACTTGTAGCCTATGTGCCCTGTTACTGTATAACGTAATGATATCGCCAATTAGTGAACAGTGAATTATCGATTTGACCAATGATGCATAAGACATGTACGAGCAACCTAGAGTCCTTATCTATCCTGCTTCCCGCCTAGCCCAGCCAGTTAAGTCCAGAACACAAATCTCAGCCTCTGTGATATGAATCGTTTATTTCGAACGTACTCGGTTTATATACCAACCAGACAGATCATATCTTACCAATAAAATAGGAAACAACATTTATACAAGATTTGGCCAAATGTGGCTGTGAATGTGGGAGGTTGTAATTAATAGACAGGGGATAATTCAAGAATGGTAAAACGTATAATAATGGTTCATAGGTCAAAATAAAGCTTATAATAAGAGGAATATGAATGTGAATAGTTTAGTTATTTAAAAATTGTACGATAAAATATACGCATAGTATTGGTCCATACATGGATCACAAAAGTTACTCTTCATTATGCTTATCGGGACCTAACACTACCATAGATTTTAGTCAGTTTTTAATAGATGTGAATTTTTTGATTCAAATCCATAGGTTCACTTCACTTCACTTTACAGCTGAAGATAGTTTGGTTTAAAAAAGATCTGTTTGGAAACTAGTCACAGAGGCATAATAAGTATTCATTCACTTCAAATTGTTTATTCTTTGAATGTGTTTGTCTTTTTCAAATTATACCTCTCATCCTTCGATTTCTTTTATTACTTATCGTGTTAATTTGCTTTTCATCTTTAAGCTGATATTAAGTCAGATAATATGAATAGATATACACATGTGCTAGTCTCTACGATGTTCGGAGCTTACTTATACCCTTATAGATTATAGCACAACCAACTGTATTACAATTCACTTTTGATTTGATCAAATTAAGTACAAAAAACCGATCTGTCAATTACATAATAATATTTATTATCAATAAAAAAAATGAAAGAAAATTCATTATTTTATTATATTCATATTTTGAACATGTAGTGTATGCTACTTATTATCGATATGAGTATTCTATAACGATAGTCAGGATTAGAATGTCTGGCAGTAGAAGGTTGAGAAGGAAAGCATAGGAACAGAAAGCAATTAGTATGAAAATGTAGGAACAATGAAATCTGAGACGATTGACGGATATATGTAAAAGGAACAGTCAAGTATGAGACAATTGATTGATATTTTGCAAATGAAGTATTTAGTGTATAGTTCTCAGATATTAGTAAAGTGTTCTGTAATTTTGTGTTTTCGAATATATTTGATTGCCCCCACTTGTGTTCTCATTCACAAAGCAAACTGTAACTTGGAATTCTTAAGTTAAAAGGAAAAAAAAAGAAGATCAAGACTTACATAATTTAATTTACAACATTATTGTGATTTTCATTATTTTTATTTATATGTAATATGTGTAAACGTGGATTAGGATTAGCTGAATGACGATTACGGCTTCGTCTTGAACTAAACCACATATTACATCCATTTATAGTACATTTATGCATTTCTTTCAAATGAACTGCACTATGATGGATTTTAAGCGCTCCTATTAAAATATGAAGAGAAAAAATATAACAACAGTAAAACGTATTGAAAAAGATGAACAATTTTTTTAGTACGTAAGTATTACTATCGGCTGATTTTTAGATAGCTGAAACTTTACAAATATTTTTAATCTTTACAGCATCTAATCACTAAGATGTAAACTATTCGGTCGAGACTTGCAAGACGATACAAACCGATGGTTAGAGACCTTGAATGACATGGCTCGAAATCGTTCGCAATAGCTCAGGTTCATGTACTCTTTATGTTCTCAAAAATTCTAATCTTCTGAATTCTTCCCCCTTTTTTCTCTTCCCAAATTTGTTTCACTGGACTATACTCCTTGAATAACATCATCAAACCCTAGTCATTACGAATTCTGCTTATACTTTTACTACCCATACGACTATGGGATTTGAATCGACAATTGTATTTTTGTACTGATGTGGTATAACTCCACCTGGAGTCCCTGGGGCTACTGCCGGTCCCAAGCCTGGATAAAGGAGGAGGGTTGGGCACGGGGTTAGCGACCCCATACCGTAGAAAACAAACTCGCCGGAAAAACGCCAATGTGGTATGGCAACCTGAAATGATGTGCTAAAATTTAGGTCTTTATTTGATTGACTAGTGATCAACCTACAGTTTCTGTTTTCCCCGGTTATGATCACTGTTGACTAGTTTCAACATGGATTTCTTGAAGTTCTAGTGAGAAGCCGTGATCAATGGAGCCCAATCCGTGTTGGGTATGAGACGGTTATCTATCTCAGACAATGGATGAAGGGTTGCTCAAGATCATGAATCGATTGAAGTTTGATATTATCACCGTTGGATCCCAGTCCAGTGGACTAGAGGTCAAGCGTTCGAGCATAAGATCGAAGGTCCTAGGTTAGAGTTCCGTGTGCGGGATCGTCAATGGGCGCTGCTGAGGCGTTCCATACTAGGATGAAATGATCGTCCAGTGATTCCACGCTTTCAGTGCTCGTCTAGTTTAGGTTAACTCATGAATTCATCTGTTAAAATACTACAATCTCCAAAAATACCCATACTAAAAATATTTTTTTATTTGATCATCGTCTCATCATTAATATTAATTACATATATGACAATCCTTGATTTAAAACGTTTAATAAACAATTGATCAGCATATTCACAAAGAACAAATTTCTGGTATCATCATAGATTGTTTAAACTCGCTTGTAATTTAGAATGATGAAACAGTTTTATGTATAAAAGACCATAACTGTCATATTTTACTTCCATTTAAAGATATTAATATATAATGCATAAACAGTGCATATAACCCATTAAAAAATGTTTACAGTTTGTCAAAATATGCTTTACATTCTGTTTTAGTTACTGTCAGTTAAATGTTAGCTTAATCTTCACGATAAAAGATTATTTCACTGGTATTGAATAATAATGAAATTATCAGAATGGGTTTTGTGGAGAGTTTTTCTTAGAAATTTCACAGGTTGAAATCATGAGTCGATTGAAGCTAGACCACCATGGAAAACCTGGAAGCACTGGACGGCCGTTTCGTCCTAGTATGGGACTCTAGTGAGAAGCCGTTACCAGTGGAGTTCAACCAGGTCTGTTGTGAGATAGTAACTCACTGAAGACAATGGTGTACGGTGGCGCAACTTCGTGGATTGGTTGAAGTTAGACATTAACACCGTCGGATGCCAGCTCAGTGGTCTAGTGGTTAAGTGCTCGCGCACGAAGCCAGCGGGCCCTGAGCTCGAGCCCCGCATGGTGCGGGGTCGTGGATGCGCACTGCGGAGGAGTCCCGCACTAGGACGAGACGGCCGTCCAGTGCCTCCAGGTTTTCCATGGTGGTCTAGCTTCAATCGACTCATGATTTCAACCTGTGAAATTTCTAATAATGAAATTGAAAATATTCCACATATTTCGTCCGCTTTCGGACTCTTCAGTCAAATAGTAACTGGATCACAAGATTAATATTCATATTTTAATTCACTAGTTTCCTATAATATGACGACTATCATTTTGTTTAATCCATTTTTTTGAATTAACTATGGTGTACGACAAATAACAGTAGTGGTAAAGGATGCGGATAGTGTAATTTAGTTAACAGAGTAAAACTAAAAAATATAAGCTATTGGATATCAACCAGTTGGTTTGAAGTTCTTACGTTCAATTCTTGATGAGATCAGTATAATTACTGCTGAAAGGTCCTATATTAGGACAAAAACAAAAATCCAAAACTTCCTAGTTTTCTATATTTGTCTAACTAAAACTACTTATCATTGTTAATCAACAAATCAATTATACAATAGAAGAAAAGCAACAATTAAATTTACCTTTATCACAGAATGTTTTCCTACAATTTGGACACATAACACGTTTCTTATTTCTTTGTTCAAATTTCTTACTCCTTATTAAAGTTTGATTTATTGCAATTGGAGTATATGGATATTTCAAAGAATAATGATCATAAGCATATTCAGTAGTTATTACTTGTATATTCTGTATAATTTCTTGACTTGAAACACCATTAGATTGTTGAAATTGATCTGAATAAATATGTCTAGCTAATAATTTTAAATAAAAGTTATTAATGAACTTAAAATATAGAAGTTTATCAATTAAAACCAAATTTACATGTATCTGCCAAAGCAGTTACATTGGTAGAGCAGAAAGGAGAGCTTACGTCCGATTCAAAGAACATATTCCGAAAAGTTTAAGATTAAATGGATTAAAAGCATCCAACAGTGCCATCGCAAGACATCTCCTTGACACAAGACATGAAGTTGATATACTGAAGTCCTTCAAGGTGATTAACAAACAATCAAACTCCAACCTTTTGAAATTTGCTGAAGCAATAGCAATCAAACGTTTAAAACCAGATCTATGTATACAAAAAGAGACAGTAATAAATCTTTCTTTACCCTGGTAACAATAACCCCCTTTTTTTATTCATTTATTTCTCTATTTATTTATTGCGTCATTACTCCAACTCTTTTAAATTACATCATACATAAATGATTGATTTCAATTCAGATTTTCTTTATTACCATTAATCTATTTTCATGAGTTCTAATCACTATTTCAATGTTCTGGAACTTTCCCTCTCTAACTTTATTTATTTATTCGAATCAAACATTTTATGAGCTCATTAACTCTATCTGAATCTTCGCTACATCATCATACACATGTATTGATCCTTATTCACACTCTTATATATAAATATGTCAATATCTGTAATAATGTTGAATTTTAAATAATTTAGGTTGTAAGCTGCTGATGAGAACCTAACGAAATAAAATGAATTCATATTATTCTGCACCAATCTTTGTTCTTGCTCTCTTTAAAATCAATAGTGTAGATCATTTATCCAGTAAGATTAAATGAATATGAGCATATGTAATGGAATATTCTTCTGGAGAGTCCCAAAATAGAACGAAATAGCCGTCCAGTGCTTCCAGGTTTCCAACGGTGGTCTAACATCAATCGGTTCACGATGTCAATCAAAAACAAGATATATTCTTTCGATAATGTAATAAGAAGACGAAGATTATCAGAATTGTGTGATATATTAGCGCAATACATTTCGAACAATCTGATCACACATATAATTGTTAAGAACATTTATATGTAAAAATAAAAGGTCAACTAGACTGGAAATGGGGTAAGAGGAGACAAGGATAATAAGAAGTGTAATAATAATAATAATAATAATAATAATAATAATAATAATAATAATAATAATAATAACAATAATGTGAACACAATTTGAAACCTAATCACTCTGGATAATGAGTCAATATTACCAGGGTAGGTTTAAGGTGAGAACAAACTGTTTTTAAATACACAAAGGGGGTTTGAATTTTCGTATGGCTAAGGCTTCACATAGTTTTGATAATCTTCATCTTCTTATTACATTATTGAAATTTATCACAGTGACTAATTGCTTTAAAGATATATTGTACCAAATTCGTCATAGATATCATAGTAAATCCAGTTAGAGTACTAATGATGATTCAATCAAATGTAATATAAATTCTTGAATCAGGCAGAAAAAAAAGACACAAATAACCAAAAGAAAAATTACAATACCTTGTGTTAAGTTCTCCGTTCTTATTCTCTTCGCTTCAACTCTTTGTGTATTGTTTTATACTACTTATTAATATTCAGTAAATAGTTGTACACCTAACAATTTTTATGTGTATGCTGTGACCCAAGTTTGTCGTGCAATCTTAAATGTTTACAAATACTTACCACATTTATTGTACTTATTATATGAATCTATTTATTTCAACCCCTATAGCAGTTGTTCTCAGTTTTTGTATCATCACTTAATCCTTGTTTAAATTCAACGATTTCCATATTGTTTGCTCATGGTGCCGTTTTTGCTTGTTGATAAACTGTTAACCAGTTTACATACAGCTATCAGTTGTCATTTGCACTATTATATGTTGTTATTATACTTTATGTTACTATTGCAGAACGCCCTATTCATTTAAGACTTATATACGTACTAAACACCACAGATACCTCACAAGTTGAGGTTTTTAACTAATTTATGTATATTATTCAATAAAGAACCGCTTTTTAAATAAATCGTTGTTTTGTGAACTTCGATTTCGTACGTATTTCAATTGTGTAATTTAGACGCTTAGATAGATTCAACACCCTGTTTATTTACTGTGAAGTTGAATTATTTCAGAAGTTGAAATTTATAAAATCGCTTCATTAGTTTTTCAATAAGATGCTAATTACGTAACACAAATAATATGTGAACGCTCTTACATTTTGTTATATCCTAGTGAAGATCAAATTACGGGTAACCTCTGAGATCTATTAATGGAATAAGATTATACATATATATATTCTTATTGTATAACTGTTCAGTAACTAGATTATGTATATTTATATTCCTCTTATGATAAGCTTCATTTTGATCTATAGATTACTATTATTATTATACGATTTACCGTTCTTAAGTAATACTCAGTTTATTAATTACTGTCCCCCATGTTCACAGCCACTTTTTGGCTTTATTGTGTATAAATGTTATTTCCTATTTTATGGTGCGATGAGGTCTGTTTGGCTGGTATAAAAACCAAGTATGTCTGAAATAAATGATTCGCATAGCGGAAGCTGTTATTGGTGTTCTGGACCCAACTGGATGGGCTAGGCGAACAAAGGGCCAATAATGACGCTAGGCTGATCAGGCCGGACGAATGTCATTGGTTTAGTACAGTACAAGAGTGAATAAGTCGTATTTCGGTTGACGAATAAATTACGTGATAACTAGCTGGACTTAAAGTCACAACACATTTATCTACAGGACTTTGTTGAATTACTGGAAAAAATTATGTTAATGAACTCGATGATAGTTTTAAAGATCCATTGATAACAACTCGTAAACTATAAGAAATCAAAGAATACTTCATAAGTTTGTCAGGTTACTTCGGAACTGATTCCTTGTTAATCATCATTGTGGAGATTATTTATAAAGAAACTTAATGAGCTAATAAAGATTATGTTAATGTTGTAATCTTTAAAATCTTGTCCACTATATAAATCTTTCAGTATTGATTGTAAAATATTTTGTTTAAAACTGTAATGTCACTTTTACAATGAGAATATAATGCTTTGATTGACCGACCACCGCTCAAATAATTTATCCTTCTAAACTAATTTCTCATTCTCATTAACATTCTCCAAGTTCACCAATAGCTCTATTGGTACTTCTTTATAGTTAAATCAGTCTACTATGATTTGTTAAGTATATGGCCAAAATTGTAGTATTCAGAAATGATAAATTTGAAATGATGAAATTTTTGATAACCTGGAACATTTTATTAATTAACAACTTTGAACCATTGTCACGTTATTAACTCCTTGTAGTGTTGGTTACTATGTTAAGCCTATATACCTTATTCTAGCTTTCGGACAGGCCAATCTAGTCATTCTATTTGAGTCATATTTTGACCTTTTTAATTATTCGCTTATCAATCTTGACTTTTTTCATATGAGCGCATATATGTGTGTATACTTCTTATCCTATTCATCACATGTCTGTAGCTTATTTTTGTGTGATTATAAGTATTGATTGACGCTTAACTAAATGGAGTGGGCTCACACGTCTTCTCTACTGAGCGTCCTTTCGTTTCGCTTTTCTTTCTCTTCGTCTCTTCATTTGCTGAGATTCTCCGATTGTCTTCCAGATCAATGAGTGTACAAAATATGCGTATTCGAGATTAATTCTCGTATTTGACTTAATTAATCCCGTTATTCACCAACGCGATTTAAGTCGATGATCATATACGAGGATAATCAGGATGTATATTTCGACAGCAATCAATCATACCATCTAACTGGAGTTAGATCTCGGGCCATTAAATCTTAAAACTACTTCAGTGTGTACTAATATTCCATTTTTTGATTTTCTTTTTTGTTATTTAATTTCTTTTGGTCCATTACACAGTGTCACGAAAATGGAATTCAACACTTTTGAGTACCTCATTAAGTCTAAATATGTGAGTTCAGTATCCAATGAAAGCGTTTAGTTGAATAATAAAATTTATAGAACATGGTTACACGGAGAAAAATGTCCGAAAATTTTACAATAAGAAAAAAAAACAACCAAATAGTGAAGGTCTAGAATGAATTAACTTTAAGAGAGTCAGGAATAAACTACTCTGAAGATCAATAAGGACTAGTCACTTCGTTATTGTACTAATGTTTAAAACAACGCTATACCTATCATACAAAGTCAGTGTTGAAATATATAGACCATTATCCAATATAAATAAGATTGTAATAACTAATTCAGATAACTAAGTTAAATATTCAAGGAAAGGTTTAAATTATTCAATACCATATGAAAAAAGTACGAAATAAATGTAGAATATAGTTGTGTATATTGATTGGTTACTCAGTAGTAACAAATAATACATTTATCTTGTCCTTAATTTTGATCAGATTCTATAGAACAAATTATAATATGACATTCATCATTCTAAGCAATTCAACATCAAGTTCACTTTGTCTTGATATTAAATAGTTGAACATAGTCAATAAGAAACTATGAACCTAGTTTTGTGATAGTTATCACTCGTCAAGGTGTACCTGGAATTGTAAGGAAACCTATCCACTCTTTGAGACTTGAACACAGATCACTCAGTTGAACAGTTTAACATATCACTCAGTTACTCTTTACTGATGAGTGTTTGATTGCGAGAAACTTAAAATCTGAATTTCCTTTCGACTACATTAAACTGACATAGATTCGTACAAATAAACGTTTTTTGCACTGAAAGCAATCGATGAAAAGGTTACTGACAGTTCCCTTCGCTACCAAAAAACGTTTTTCCAAAAAAAATCAAAAATCTTCAATTACCTTCTTTGCTAAGACCATCTGTCCAATGAGTGGGAATAATATCCTTAAGATTTTTTATTTGATTAATTAATCTTTCAGTTTGATTTTGATAGCTTAACATATTCAATGGAAATTCATTAATCCAATTCAGTAAAAGTTCAGGATTTACACTGAATACTTCATTTTTCACATTCAATATTTCTTGTCTTTTAAATTGATTATGTTGTGGAAAGTTGATCTGATCATCATGATCATTATCACCATCAGGAATCTGACTAACTGAGCGAGCATTCTCACTAGGAATTGAACTGACTACCGATGAAAACTTATCATGACCATTATTATTATTATTAATTAAATTGTCAAATGTATCATTTAAACATTGAATAAATGTTGAATCATTACTGTGATTAATTAAACTTTGATTTGACAAAAAGTAGGAATTGAATATTCTGGAATTCGATGATATTTTGTTTGACGTAATCTCATGAGGTAACAATTGAAATGATGAAGTATTATTATTATTACTCAAGAATGATACAGAAGACATTGGAAGTTTGTATAAATCATTGTCTTGTATAATATTCATATTTGTTATATTTATCTCTTGAATAAGATCAAGTTGAATAGTCTTTAATAAATTGTCAGCTAATAATTTCAAGTTTGGTAGATTTTTAATTTGTCTCAAAATTATATACTCTTCATCAGGTGTACACATATTCAATATGGATTGTTTAGAATTCTATAGAGAAACGAAACAACAACAACAACAGATAAGTAAACAGTTAACTAAATAATAATCTATTTGTGATATTCCAGTGAGTAGAAAAGTTAGATTTTCTGACGTTTCATGACTTAGTGTAAGATACTTCTTTATTATCAGACTGATGATCAATTGCAGTTTTAAACATCAATGGTAATGTATTCTCTGAAGAAGTGGGTTAAACTAAGTCACGAAACGTCAGAAAATCTAATTTTCCTACTCATTAGGATATTATTAATACATTGTAGTGAAGGAGAGCGCAGGTGAGGACAACCGAATTGTATATTTAGTACAACATTACAGAGTTATTTGGTAAAATAGAAGAAACCATACTATAATACTTAATTTTCAAAATGTTCAATAATTGTCTCGGACTTCGTTGTTCTTGCATTTCCATACTAATTGCTTTCTATTCCCTCTCTTCCTTTCTTGATCTTCCCAATCTTCTGCTGCCAGACATTACATTCCTGACCCGCGTCATATACTACTTATATCAATATAAATAGCACGCATCACAATATATGTATATATATACTAAACAGTAACTTACATTTAACATGTAACCACGTGTATAGTCTATTAAAGACCAACCAAATATTTTCAAATTTGTTCAAATTGATATTTTGTTAAATAAATCTTATTGAAATGATCCAATAAAAACTTCATTCGAATTGGAATTAACTGACAACCACAAAGAATTAAATTTGTTAATTGGCATAGAATCATAAAAATATGTAATAGACTATTTGATGATGTTGATATGAATTGCTCATTGAAAAGATTGATATATATTACAAAATTTGCTATTGCTGTTACAAAATAATAAAAAAATAACAATAGGTAACAATGAATGGGTTGGAGAATCCTGGTCGGTGGCCTATGCTCCATTAGGAGTAACAGACGTAAGTAAATAACAATGAACTATTTGTTACTTACCAAATGGATATACTTATATCCCAGTGTTGATGATCTCACTCAAACTCGAACTTAATATCATTTGATTCAAACATCAATATTCTATCTACTGAGATAGTGAGTTCAGATAGCCAATAACTTGCTTACCAGGTATGAGATTTTTTTGTGTTGTTGTTGTTGGCTATATTAAGGATACCATAAAAATATATGAATACTGTGAAGTTTGCCTCTATATCCTTTTTGTTTACAAGTTATATAAAAAATGAATGGACCCTAGAACTGAAAGTCATGACTACAATTTCCATCGTGTTCTGAACTTGCTATACGACATTATTCAAATGTATTCCATTTGTATTAACAAAAGAAAAACTCAAATTATTACACAAATTATATTGAATGTTAAACAATTCAATGCATTTATATAACTTCTGTTTTAAGTCAATCAGCTTAATTAGCCAATAGGAGTACTGACTTAGAAGACTAGGAGCTTGGTATAACTTACTATGGATGAAAATAATCGAATCCCTACTAAATGTATAACTATCGTTTCCAGTGTTTTTAAATAAGTTTACCAGTATATCATAAATTAACTGTAATCTCATGCAACTTCACAATCACAAATATACATTGAAAGATGATAATAGGATTTCAAAAATATTCAGCGTCTAAGCTAACTTTATTTATAGTTTACTGTTATCTGTGTTATAGCTTGTGAATCTGTGTGCCCTGTTATTGTATAACAGGGCGATACCGCCAATTAGAGAACAGTGAATTATCAATTTGACCAATGATGCATAAACACGTGTGAGCAGCTTAGAGTTCTGATTGGTCTCGCTCCCTGTCTAGCCCAGCCAATTAAGTCCAGAACACCAATTTCAACCTCTGAAATATGAATTATTTATTTCAAACATACTCGGTTTATATATCAACCAGATAGACAACATCTTACAGCCAAATGTGGCTGTGAATGTGGAAGGTACTAATTAACAGACAGGGGATAATTCAAGAATGGTAAAACGTATAATAATGGTTCATAGGTCAAAATAAAGCTTATAATAAGAGGAATATGAATGTGAATAGTTTAGTTATTTAAAAATTGTACGATAAAATATACGCATAGTATTGGTTCATACATGGATCCCAAGAATTACCACTTATTATTCTTATCGAGATATAACAATATGCTTGATTGTATAAGATTTGTATTTATTTACTGTGTTCATATTTTTTCTACCAGGGTATTAGATCAGTTATTAAACTATTCAATTCATGATAAATAACTGATTGATTAGCAAACATTATAACTAAGTAATAGAATGAGCTGATAAATATTGACTATAGTTACTTAATTGTATTGATAGATTCTTGGAAATAAATGTCTTAAAGGTTTGATATTTTATCATAAGCATTGATAACGATGATTTCATCAAGCTGTTATGGTGTGTGGGTGTGTGTGAGGGTGTCGTAGATTTACTGTCCTAAAATGGCATTCTAAAAATTCTATCTTATAATTTATCTACAGTAAATAAACTTATTTACTTTTGAAAGAAAAAAAACACAATCTCCAATAATTTAGTAACATTGTAATTTTCTTAGTTAACATTATTAATTGAGCTTAGTTCAAGGACTATTGAAAGTCGAGAAACACTAGAAATTCGTTTTTTTACCTAGTAAAAGACGTCTTGGCAGTCAATATACATAGTCTCCCATCAGGAATCTAACCCAAGACCTCTGATTTCTTTTGCAAACCTTTGACCTCTTTATACATTCATTTTTGATCATCTAACGTTATTATATGTTACCTGTGCCTAATGTCTTCTCAAGTAATTCACAGCTAATTGCTTTGAATTGGAAGCTTTCAAACTCTATCATCATGACTAGTTGTTTGATCAGTGGTCAAGACTCATTCAAATTAAACCACAGTAGGTTGACCTGTGTAATAAAAAAAAACAATCTAAAAAACTTGTCATTTCAACTTACCATGAAATGTCCATGAATGGTTACATTTAGAACAATATCGAAGACTAGTTGTACATGGTGTAAAACTATTACATTTGCATAGAATACATTGATGATTTCGACCTTCCATAAAACCTAATGCCTGAAAAGAATGAAGAAATAAAATCATGAGAAAAAAATTGATCTGATCTAATCGATTAAAAGGAGTTAATTGATTATGTGAACAAAGTTAATCGCTAAGTAATGTTCGAACGTTGTTATAACTGTACAAACTGGACATAGAACATCGAGAAATGCTGTGATCTTGAAAGACTTAAAGATGAAGTCAAAATTATTGATAGAAGCATTCAAAGATAACCCTTTTTGATCAATTAAACTCATTTCTTTAGTGATCTTACTCAAATCTGATGACTGATTATTAAATATCCTACATTGAGAAGATACAAAAATGAATGTTACAGAGAATGACAAATTTCATGTTGTATATTATACTGAATGAAGTTTATACTAAACTAATACAAAGAATGTTATACTGGAATAAAATCAGTATTATATTGAATGAAATATCACAATAAATTAAAATGAATTTTATACTAAGAAACTAAATGAATTAAAAACTCAAATGATACCTCACTAAATTCATACTGGGTTAGAACATAATCTCATGTTATTAGTCCATTCTAACAGATATCAATGTATGATGTATATTATTCGATCAAATGTTAGCTAAATACACACCTAATTCAATCACTCATACTATAGAGAAATGAGGTTTTCCAACTACTTACATAAAATTGTATTATGATACCTCATTTAACATTGAAACATTAACCATCTAAACATAAAGTTATTTAGAAAATGAATAAACATTCTCGCTACAAGCTAGAAGTATTTATTACACATTTTAAAAAACAAAATCGACAATTATTATGTAAATTAATAATTGAGATCGTGAGTCAATTGAAACTAGACCACCATTAAAAACTTAGAATTAATGGACGGCCGTTTCGTCCTAATATGACACTCCTTGGTAGTGTGCAGCCGTAACTCCACACGTGGAATTCGAATCCAGGACCTACGGTCTCACAGGCGAACTCCTAACCTGTAGATAGTTGGGCGGAACCCAATGATGTGATCATGTGCAACCTTTCGTAGACGTGCATTACTGAGGAGTCCCATACTAGGACGAAACAACCGTCCAGTGCTTCCAGGTTTTCCATGGTGGTCTAGCTTCAATTGATTCATGATCTCAACTGTTTAAATTAATTAAAGTTGAATTTCCCATTTTCAATTTTGGATAAAAATTATCTGTCCGTTGATTATGAAAGGATCTAATCAACAAATTCTTAATGCTTCCATTTTCTTTAAATTTCATCAAGTATTAATTATTCAAGCATTATTATTATTATTGATCTAATCAACTAAATAATAGGGGATAAATGAGTTACGAAGATGTACTAAAGTTAGTTGCATTTATCTTAACATACTGAAATAGATTATATGCACTGTGGTTAGCAGCTGACTCTGACACGAAGGTTTCATCTTACATGTGACCTGTCGATTGGATGCACATGTATCTAAGCGTTGTCGTTGTTCACATTAGAATTGTAATCTATTAGGAATAGGTAGAGCTAATGGATATTATTCACTGGGTTAAAGTATCAACTTGAACAACAACATTGAAATACAACTGAGTTCAGCTTGAGAGCCTCGAAGCTAAACTAAAATTGTATGCTGGTTACCACTCCAATACACTATTCAAAAATATGATCAGTCCACAATACTGTATGGCATCTTTTTAACAGGACAAAATGTGCTTCCCGAATGCCACTGCTAAGAATGATCATTCCATTCTATAAAAAACTTATGATAAAAGGGCTATATCAACGCAGTCAGCAAATGACCAAAGACCGGTCAAAATTTAGCACTATTTATCAACAACTGAATAATCTCAACCTTTAACATCAGTGCTGTGAACATTTAAAGAACAACTAAAACCACCCAATGGTCGACACTTATTTTCTTTTTGGTACTGAATATCAATTACCCCACGTCTGATTAAAATCGATGCCTTCACACATGATAACAACCACGAAACCTGGATTTTAAACTTCATGATCCACGTGTCTTAATACAAAGAAAAAATACATCTTTTGAGAAGTTGTAAAATCATTGGATAGGCCATATTTCTCATATCTTTTGTTAACTAAAAATGTTAACACATAAAAATGAAGACATAGATATCATCGTTTCTTTAATGGCAATAATCATTTTGTCTATTATTGTTGGGATATTCAGAAAAATATCCCAAAAATTATTCTGTTAAGTCTAATGCTATTCTTGGACTAGAGATGGTATCATTCTCCTATTGGTCAATATTTATTTCACGTGTCATTGTCCTGTTGGCCAAATATTGTACAAATGTTATTTTCTATTTTATGGTACGATGTGGTCTGCTTGATTGGTATATAAACAGAGTATGTTTGAAATATAATGATTCATATCGCAGAGGCTGAAACTTATGTTCTGGACTTAACTGGCTGGACTAAGCGGAAAGCAGGGTCAATCAGAACTCAAGCTGCTCATACGGGTTTACGCGTCATTGTTCCGATCGATAAGTCACTCCTCTCTAATCGGCGGTCACAAGATATTACAATTATCTACATGTATTTTAGTGAATATCACGATTTTTGTTGTTGTTTAGATTATATTTTTTGGGCATCATAGTGACAATATGCAGTTTTATACTGAATAATGTATATGTTCAACATCTGTCATTAATGATATATTTATTAAATTTATAATTTAACATTATCAATTATTGTAGTCAAATACACATAAATAGATATTAGTCTCAATTCCTGCAACAACAAAAAAAAAACGTTTTGAGGAAGAAACATCAGTTGTTGTTGCTGCTGTGATTGTTGTTTTGATGTTACTAAATATATAACTTAATATATCTCTTGATCAATTTGTTGTCACCATTCAAAGTTCATTTAGTCCGCATTATATTATGTGTTTGTATGTATATCTATGATTGTCACTTGATAAATTTTAAACAAAAAAACCCAACAAAACAAAGACAAATTCAAGTCATTTCACTTCCTTTTTTTTCTTTTCAAAATTTATTTCGCTCCTTTCACTAAGAGAGATATAAGTGAAACAACGTGGCTAAATTATTTTCAGTTTTTTTCACTAATTTACTTATACCCTTTTTTTTAAATAAAAAAACAACAGAACAAATTTGTATCACATAATGAAGTACATTAGGCAGTTTTTATTGTTTGGCGACACTTTTTTTGTTGCTGTTGTTGTTCATGTTGGTTTGTTTAAATACATCCTATAGATCAATATTCAATTATTTAGTTGACTTAAATAGATAATAATGACATATACCATGATGAAATTGACAATGATGCTCATGACAAGGATGATGTTGTTTTGTTTTTTTTTCGTAAAAAAAACTTAAAAAAGAAAAGAAAAAAAATCGAAATAGTTTAAGCTTTCCATTCTTATCTAGTAGAGAAATGTACCTGGTAATTAGAGGTGGAGGGGGAGGGGAAATAGCACACTAACTAGTCATCAAACTTTACTTTTTCATGAAAAATGTCACATTTATGTTGTATCTATTGAAAACAACATAACTGAACAGTTGGTAATAAAAGATTTCCAAACCAAAAAAATAATAATAATAAAATCCAGTTAAAAATAAGGCGAAGAAAAAACTTTTGAAAATGTTAATTAATGAAAAAGTAAAAATCTTTTCTAAAATTTTAGCTACTTATTATGACTTTTCATGATCTTTATATTCCAGGGAAGTATGTAGGTAATTATAAAGACCTAATAGTTTGGTAGATAATACTCATTAGGTTTAAGTATCATTGTAAACAATAACACTAAAGTACAAATGAATCGAATTGGTGAGCTTTCAAATAGGATGAAACATGTGTCTTGATTTTTGTTACTAGACATGATTTTTAAATATAATCATTCCCTTGAAAAAGCTTGGATCAAATTGCCAGGCGAAACGTTGGATTTAATTCAGATTTTTTCGCTGAGATTTTGCAAATACATTCTTCCTCTTTAATGATTAGTCATACAGTAATTTTCATAACCGGTGCTGATTCAGAAAATGACTCTCCCTTCCGATCGATTACAGTTGCTATTTGAGCGATAGTTGGAGTTCTTAGTCAAATTACATACACAGCTGCGGAATCACCCATGCTTTGGAGATGCGACGGAAGTGGATGGACTAATTTCTCAATTGAGCACAGAGCTGGGAAATGATTGCAGCCTCCATGAATCCTCGACAAACAGTAATTTAAACGAAACACCAGTCATTCAAGATCCGCTCAGTGGGCCAGTAATGTCAGAAATATACCCGGTAATGGATTCAAACCCCATTATCCCCGAAACAGCATGTGCAAACAATGACTTATCCAGCTCACAAAAAGACGATGTCCTGTTAAATGTACATGAAATTGTCTCAGTAACCGCCCACGAAGAAACAGAAAACAAATCGAGCAGTACACTGAATGTAGCTGCACCAAATGGAGCTCATCTTTCTGTTATCATTCTAGTTTACGGTGTGATACATTGTTAACTTTGGTTCTAAATTAAACGACTCGCATACTCATTACCAACAGGGAAATATTTTACTCAGAATGGTGGGATTTGTTCAATAAAATTATTCGTTCTTATGTTAGTATCTCATTATCTTTTTATTAATGTATAGGACATATTCAATTGTCATATAAAGGATGCTTGAATAGTAAATGGCGTATGTGATCGGCGTTTAACACTGTGACGCTCACTAGTATAAAATATCTGTTACAGAGCTGATGTTAACTCTTTTTGACTCTTAGACTTCCTAATTATGTTCCAAAAAGTCTTATAACTAGAGAAAGAACTACTTTAAACAGCCCAATTACTAAACATATTTTAGTAACAGGACGTCAAGTCAACACCTTGCAATCTTCCAAGGTGATTTATAAATAACCAAGCTCTAGTCTACTGAAGTTTGCGGAGGCCATTGCTATCTGGTGTTAGAAACCTGATTTATGTATTCAAAAGGAGATGGTTGTCAATCTTTACTTACCTTAGTGACAAATATTCCATCATTGCATCATAAAATTTTGTTCA